AAATTATTAGTGGAAGGAGGGAAGGGAGTTAATATGGTGACGTCCATGTAGCACACTCATTAATCTTTTTTCATTTATCGAAAGACAAAACATCACTGCTTCCATGAAAACTTTAATTATAAAATTCAAAATGTATTTTGAAGGCATTTGAGGTTGACTTGGCGGTCAAGTATTTATAGTATTTTAGACATTAAATCAAATAAGTTCACTTAGACAAACACGAAATACAATGTGATAAATTCTGCATATTAAAAATAAAATTAGTAAGGGCAATTTAGACCTTTGCGGTAAATCTAATTAGATAGAATTTCCGGATGAGGCAAAATTATTGCTCTCTACCCCACATTTCTTGTTTACCTCTGTTAAAATATTTTCTTGATGTGTCTAAAATTTTTTAAAAATATTTGTTTTCTTTGGCTAAATATGGACTATAATATGTAAATACTCATGTGCAAAATAAAATATACTTAATTTACTTTTAAATTGAATGAAATATAAAATAAGAAGGTGTTAAAAGGCTTAGGAAAAAATATGTAAATACAAAAAAATCCAGTCCCCTACTTATTAACTTTTATCCACTGGAACTTCTAATCATGAATATATATATATTTAAATGACAATGATTAATTATTATTTAAATTATTAAAAAAATAAATTATACATCAATTATAATCAAACAACCACAATGTTATAACGTAAATGTTCAGGCCTTATACTCAAAACATTGTAGTTAGACTTTTACAAAGTCAATATAATTTCTATTTGTCTCTTGCCTAAAAAAAAAATTATATACTGATACTGAAACAAAACAAAATGAATGGAGGAGACAAATGTTGTTAATTAGAAATGACATTAATCTTCTTCCTTTTAATGATCTATAAGATATGATCAAATAAATAAGGCATCAGATATTCAGATTCTCTTCTTTTTTTTAACTATTATTTTTAGTTATATTGTTGTATAAGAAAATCTGCTTTTAATTTCAAAATAAATAAACTTTTTGTCGAGGGTACAATAATATTTATCAATATATACTTCGTGCTAAATTAAGACTTTACCGTCAGTTATTGATTTAAAATTAAAACAACTTTTTGGATAGAGTTCAAATGTAAATTCAGTAATTTGGTTTTTTGAAATGATATAAAAACTTCATTGATGACATATTTATAATAAAAAAATAAAATGTTAGTTTAGCAAAGAAATCAGAACAATGAATAAAATTAAGTCAATACTTGGTTTAGTGGTAAAAAAAAAGAAAAAAAAAAAAAAAAAAGAAGCAAAGTGAAAACAAACCTTTAGTCAATCAATGTTAATGTAGTCAATAATATTAACATAAAAAGAGGTAAAATTTCCATCTAACAAACTATTATAATTTCATCTTAAGCTTATGATCCCAATATATAAAAAATGTACACTATATACCAAATCTAAAAACATCACAAAATTATCAACAATATATTTTGGTTTATGATTTATTAATATTAAAAATAAATAAATATTCGATTGTATGAATTGTTCATTTGGAGCTTATCACATATTCAGTCATAATCTATACAGGAATACATCCATAGATAATAAATTATGCTGGCTTCAATTTCCTTCTGAACAGAACTTACAGAAGTTAATCTTTATAACAGGAGAAGGTAAACCCTAAGGGAAAGAATAAAATAAATCAGTCTTGCTTTGTTCACTTTACAGGAGCAAATATTTTACAATACTACTTTACACTAATTCATCAGAAAATAATATTAGTAAAATCAAGGTTTCCTTAAGTAGGCAAAGAAATGTCATACAAATAAGAAACAATTACCTATTTTATATGTATTTCTTTCACTTTCTAGATACTTTTAATGGTGATTAGATTCTTTCTAGCAAATAAAAATATTGTTTAGTCCTAAAATAATGTTGAACCTCAATATCTCAAACATGAAGGTCTCTTGTAAAAACTTCTATTCATAGCAAGGTCTTTCTTGAATTTATATTGCATTATGTAACAATTTAATTTTGAATTATTACTCATTATCATGAATGTAAACTAAGGACCCTATTTCATGAAAAATACATGTTATATATATCTTTAAATATAGCTTTTTATTGACACACAGATATTTTATTCGATATATAGAGTATTTTTAAAAATAAAAATTGAAGGTTCCAAAGTTTGGAGGTTCGAATGAACAATGTCATTTTTTTGTTAATATACATGTTTAAATTTTTTAAATAACAGCTTATTAGCAATTAGACTGTTTCCAAATCATATTGAAAAAATAGCATTTAAAATAAATAATGGGTTTTCACCAAGGTGATTCAATGATGGTGTGACCACTAATCAGATCGACCACATCCTTATAAATATTAGGTTCATGAGTCTAATGGATGTAAGAATGTTCCGAGGTGTGAATGTGGTTCACATCATTGTCTCATGATTGCAAGAATGCTAGATAATACGGCAAATAATAGGACAAAAAAAAAGAAAAATGAGCAAAAGCTCAGGTATCCACAAGAAAAACTTCTTTTCACAGCATCGATGAATAAAAAACTCCAAGCCCTTGAACTGGAAGATCAGAGAAGGAATACATAAATCAGCTATCTTAAGGTACTATTTCGCTGATACTGCCCGCAGCAGCAACTGCTGGCGGTTGAGCACTGCTTTAGCGGAAAGTACTTATTTCGTTGGCGTTGCTCGGCAGTCTAGGTATGACTTCTTATCTAGGCTGCTCCTATTTGACCGCTCCTGAAGCAATGAAGCTGTTGGTGGTTCTAGGTTATGTTATCATATCGGAGCATTATTTCGATGATAACAGTCACCTTGATATGTTTTTTTTTTTTTTTTTCATCAAGTCAGCCAAATTAAATGAAATATGAGTAATAGTGGTTAAATAGTTGACTGTCGTAAATAATGGAGAGAAGAATAGTTGGGGTGATCAGTCAAATAAGAAGGCAAAAATAAATGATACTATTTATTTTGACATTAGCCGACGTTTCGACCTGAAGTTCAGGCCATCATCAGGGCTGATTTCGGATTACGGAATCGATTCCGTAGATTTACATCTCCCTAATCGGCCCTGATGATGGCCTGAACTTCAGGTCGAAACGTCGGCTAATGTCAAAATAAATATAGTATCATTTATTTTTGCCTTCTTATTTGACTGATCACCCCAACTATTCTTCTCTCCTAGATGAAAAATGGTTTAAAATTTAAACAAAGCTATAATTAATCATTTTTTAAAGGTTGAAGTAACAATATTATTTGTTTATTTATTCCACCAAAAGTATTTTACAGAGAAATTCAAATATACCTAGATCCAAATGACATTAAATAAATTAAATAATCCAAAAAATTTAATGGTTGCATTTTAATTTCAGGTAAATATTCAAATCCAGACATTGAAAAATCAATTTGTATTTTTTAATTAAAGTGCTGATTTACTGATTACTTATCGATAAAACGGTAAAATATTTTCTGCTGTGATTTCATTTCAAATATATGATATGTATTACTAATCAATGATGTAATAATTTCTGTTACTTATCAAACTAATAATTAGTAATAAATTTAAAATCAGAGATAAATCCTTAGTTCTTAAAATAATGCTTAATCATCTTATTAGTTTATGACATTTATATGTTATATTCAAAATATTACAAGAAACAATAATTTTTTAGAAGGTAGGAATTAATATGTGGATAATTGTTAACATTTCATAGTACATACATAACCTTGTTATTCAACTTTAACTACCAGAAAAAATGGCATGTATTAATTAAATAAGATCAAAACTCTAAAATCAAATCTATTGCTATCTTTCCGATACAAATAAAAATAATTAAATTTAATTTATATTAAATATAATTTTTTAAAATTATATCAAACTAGGATGCTAAATTGATAAGATTTGGCCGCGACGGTGAGGGGTTTCATCGAGCACAAAATGGTTGGCAGCGTGAAATAGCGGTCGCTGCCGTGGGCCAGCGAAATAGTACCTTTAGAACTCTAAACCGAGGTCTTAGGACAAGAGGAATATGCTTGGCTTAATGAAAACTTCAAGCAATCAACAGATGAGAAGAATTCTCCCTACCGACTGAGGATACTACAAAAAAGAAATTATGTTGAAAATTATCATATAAAGTGTAGAATGGAAAAAATATTACATCAGAATAAGAAAAATAAATGGGAATGAGACCAATTAGAAGAGATTGAGCATCTTAAAAGCCTTAATGAAACTAGGAAGTTTTTTCAGCGGATTAAGTCTGTCTCTTGTTTAATATGGCACTGGAAGATGCTGTTATAAGTTTAAGTGTGGTGATTAGGAGCACTTAATTTAATGAATTGTTGGTTTTGTGGACAATTTGAACACAATGGGAACAACCATGGATCTATGAAGGAGGTATTTCTTGCTCTACATCAGATCCGAACTCTAGGACCTCCAATGCGGCCTGCAGAAGTTTCTTTGATTACATGAGGTGTAGCTCTTAGAAAGCTCATTTCATGATTGTAGTGAAATTTAAAGAAAAACATTTTTTATAGTCAAAAGGTGAGACCTGCAGGATTTAGTAGAGGCCTCAATGTGGCCTGTGAGACTTAGTGGTGGTCTCCATACCACCCGTGGGCCATTAAGTATGGACACCCGTACACTCTACATGAAGCTACACAAGCTGGTCTGACTGCGGAAAAAGACAAAACCAAGTATTTCAGAACAGATCCACAAGGGTGAGATCAATAATAATTTGAAAGTTTCAAACAAAATGAAAGAAGAAATTATCAAACTAAAAATTTTGATTTATTATTATAAATGAACTATTTGAATCAAACAAGGAAAAGAAAATTAATAACTTATTGACTTATTTCTATATCATACTGCCATTGGTTGACTGATCAGTATAGAATAAGCATTATTCACAAAGGTCAACTGGTAATTTCATAATGACTAAAATATAACCAAAATCTTACAAAATAAAAACAAAGCAATTTTGAATAATGCAATTTGAATATTTACTTTTTAACAGGCATGTGGCCCTGCACCTCCAGCAATTTTCTCAGCGAGATCAGCAAACTTTGCAGTATAATCAAGACTACTTTCTGTCATCAAGCTTTGAAAATGTGATTCAACCTGAAAAAAAAAATGTTTGAAGTACACTTTTAACGGAGCTATAGTTTAAAACTTACAGCTAACAAACCATGAAGACCACTAAAAATAACAAAAACCCTATTAATTATATCCGATAGACAATAAAAACCTCGGTACTCCATCTGTTTTTGTAAACCACATAACTCTAGTCTCTAGCCATGTATATATGCCTAGAGAGATTTGAAAGTATATTCAAACTATAAATAATGGATTGTACCCCTATTAGTTATTAAACTGTTATTTTTCATAGTAAAGTTTACTAAAATAAAGTTGCGAGCTTAGCATTGCCTTGTCATTGGTCAAAAGTAGTCACACTATTTGTAAGTGTACCATTGGGATATCACAAAGGAAAAACTCATCAAATTATTCACTAATTTAATTTTCTGAAATGTTACTTGACGATTTTTCGGAATAAACCGATGTTGATACCTAATTACTTTAATATAATATCAGATCTAAAATTATTGTACTACAGTAAATATATTTGAGGTTATAAATATATGCTTTATACATAGAGGGAATATTTTTTATATCTCACTTCTTCCACTTAAGTACTACAAAATAGGTTTTTAAACAATGTCACACAGCCTTGATTAGGTGGATTTTAAATACTTTTTTTTCAAACTTAAAAATATTTTAAAAGAATTTCATTTATTTTCATTGAAAACATATGGTTTCTGTTAAATAATATTAGTTTTCACAAATTATTATTTATAGTTTTTTGTCATTCTCCATTACTTTCTACAACTTTCTATTAGATATTGTTTTTTCTAAAGTTCTCAATTTTTAAATTTTTTAATGATATACCTTCTGACTAGTATTTTTATAAATTCATTTTCGACCTAAATAAACATTTTTCCTTTTTTCTCTATTTTTCAATTATTAAACTATTTCAAAGGATGATAAGTATTCAGGACCCAGTCTTTTTTTTAAAAAGCACAGTCAGTGCTCAAACCATGCCCTGAAGATGACCACATGTTTGGGTTGAAACGTTATCATAAATAAAAAATTTAATTTTGTTTAAAAAAAACTGGGTCCAGAATATTTATCAGCCATGATATGTAGAACAGTCGACTAAATTCCTTCAATAATTCATAAATTCTTTCAAAAGTTATATTTAGCATTTTTTCAAAACTCTTAATAATGAGAGATAGTTAATTATTTAAAATAAAACAAATTAAAGGTACTTTAGACATGTTGAACATTTAAGCCCTGTAAAGTGATGTCAATGGGGATAAGACCTGATTGATATTAAAGACTACTTAATTATACGATACATCGAGTCATTTTTGAGAAAATTGTAAAAATGTGTATAACAGTTGATATAAAGTGCCACTTCCTATTAGTCGATTTTAACGAAAAAGTTGCTGTCACATCTAAAGCAATAAGTAGTATCAGTTTCATACGGCATTTCATTTTTGAGCAAGACTGATCACAAACATACACACACGCACATACCATTTTGCAAGGCTTGGTTATTTACTCAGGTGACCTCAAAATGTGTATTTCTGTTGAAAACTCAGATTCTAAAATTTTCACGATCGCAATACTTTCCCTTGCTATGTATTACATATATATAGGTAAGTGAAAGTAAAAACTTACATCAGTAGATATCTGTATGTCATCACTCGAAGTAGCTCCATTTGATTTCAAAGGTGATTCAAGGTGCCCAAGAAAACTGCTTAGTGAGAAATCTGTAACCTAAAAACAAAATAGTAATTAAAAATAAAAAAGATTATAGGTTTATAGATATACTGAAACTTTTAATGAAATTGAAGAAAGTATATACTTCAGAATTGAGCCATTGGCTTTCTCCTTCCTTTAGAATTCTACTTGGGCTGGTTGGAGGTGTGTCATCTCCAAGGTCACCTTCACTTCCGCTACCCAATATCCCTTAATCAAGAGAACCAAGTATAAGTCATCAAACAATTTTATACTACAACTAAAAATATTTCAATGACACATTTTTAATATATAATAATGGCAAGATTTATGAAAGCCTACTTAAATACAACCAAGGACCAAAACTAAACTTGGTTTGGTTTAACATTTATTATATGAATATAGTTCTGATAATCGGGTATGGGAGTGAGTGCACCTTGCTGGCTAATGTACAAAAAGGAAGTAGGTATATGAGAAAGAGGTGGAACATAGACAAGCTCCAAAATGAGCAACACAAGGCATGATTAACAGAGAAGCTAAAGAAGAGATTGTAAGATAGAAATGTGGAAGGTGGAATTGAGGAGGAGTGGCTTGTGTTGGGAGAGAAGAGTAATTGAAGATACAGCAGATCAGGAGTTGGGAGAGAAGATATTCAGAAGAAATGAGGATAGGTGAAAGTACTGCAGAGAGATTCTTGGAATAACAGGAGGAAATACATTCAGAACAGGAAAGTGGAGACGAAGTTATACAGGAGAAAAAAGAGGGAATGGCTCAGAAAGAAAATTAAGGATATGGAGGGAAATGATGGGGGAAAGAAAATTCTACTAGGCAGTGTAGACAATTAAAAGAGGCTTTTAACCCAAGCGACGATAAGATGGATAGAACATTTTGGAAAGATCCTTAATATCAGTGAATCTTAGAAACAGACGGTGATAGATAAAACCTCAAAAATAAACAATATTCATTGGTTCATAGTAGGTTTAGATCACATCTCTATGCCCTTCGAAAATCCTTAACCCACAAAAGTGTCCCCTGATATAGGACCTCTCTCACATGATGAGTTTCTGGATAAAATAGATGTTCTAAAAACTGTAGGGTCCTTGGTGAAGATAATATACCAGCTGAACTATTGAAGATAGGGGATGAGCTTCTGAATAACAGAATATATGACCTGATAATTAGGATCTGACTAGATGAAAAGATGTATACCAGACTCCTGTGCCAATTTTGAAAAAAAAAAAAAAAAAAAAAGAGTACAATTATAGAGGTATAATGTTATTAAATGTCATCTACAAGATATTGTCAACCTTATAAGGGCTAGGCTGAAGGTATACCTGAGCGAATTTTAACTGACTATCAATGTGGCTCTATGCCTAACAGGGGCATGATATACAAGATCTTTGTCCATCAAACAAGTGCTGAAGAAATGTTACAAACACAACATACATGTACAATTGCTCTTCATTGACTTTAAGCAAGCCATGAATTGAGTTCAGCTAACATCAGCCTTAAAGGAGTTTGATATTTCCCATAAGCTAATTAACTTAATTAAAATGATGATGTTCCATTCATTAGCTAGAATTCTTATTGACAATAGAATGAGCAAAAAATTCCATTTCAAAGATGGAGTGCAACAAGATGATGCTCTATCGGCCATATTGTTTAACCTGATTCTGCATAAAGCCTTAAAGACAATTGAAGGTAAAACATAAAAAGGTTGACAGAATATTAAAAACAGATATAATGAAGCTAAAACAAAACTTATGGTGGTGTCTACATCTAATGTAAGGATGTCTGACGATTTCCGATTTAATGATACAACACTTGAAGCAGTTAAGCACTTCACATACCTTGGATCAAATATAAATTCCAAAAACAAGGTGGGTGAAGAGATCAGAGAACAGATCATAGTAGGGAATAGAGCTTATTAGTCTTGTAAATCTTTTCAAATCGATACTTCTCTCTACAGTCACCAAGATGAAAGTTACTGATTGACACACGCTAGGTGTGTTTGAAAGAAAGATTCTGAGACATATTTTTGATCCAGTTTGCATTCAGGGTGTATGGGTGCATTAGAAACAATCAGGAACTGAAAGATTTAATAAAGCATGAGAATATATTGGCAGCCACACTGCAAAAGTCTATTAAAGTGCAAAATAAAAAATTATTTGTAAAACAAAATAAACCGCATATTTTTCATTACACGCAGTAGATTTTCTATTTAATTTTTATAGCATGTATAAGAAAAAGATGTAATGTTATAAATAACGTTTTTATGAACACCTTATATCTGAGACCAAAAGTAACCCGAAAATCTCAAAACTGCACATTCTAAATAGATTGTACTTACAGGCTTTAGCAGTGTGGCTGTGAATATTATGCTACATAAAATTATGAATAATTTCGTGGCTCGGTCATATACAGAGAATGGAGGATGATAGAATGATGAAGAAAACATGAGAGAAGAAAACTTGTCCGGGGAAAAAGAAATGAGGATGCCCTAGGAGACAGACAATGGCTGAATGACTTAGAGAAGGATCTGACAAGGATTGGAATTACTAGATGAAAACAACTAGTACTAGATTGGGATGCATAGAACCAAATAGTATGGGAGGCCGAAGTTGACCACGGACTGTAGTGTCAGCAAAGTAAGTAAGAATGAGTGGACCACAATGAAATAAAAAAACGTACATACAATTAATGATGAAGAGAAGAATAGTTGGGGTGATCAGTCAAATAAGAAGGCAAAATAAATAGTATCATTTATTTTTGCCTTCTTATTTGACTGATCACCCCAACTATTCTTCTCTTCGTTATTCACGACAGTCAACTATTGGCCAATTATGAATTAATGATGCTTGTAAAAAGATAAAAATGTTATATATTGAAACATGAAAAATATAAATTTCATGTTAGTATTGAACTACTATTGGCTGTGCTAAGAGATTCAAATGTTTATTCTTGAAATGGTGGGTCCTTCTAAACTGATTCTTTATCTTCAAAACTTAGACAATTCAAAATTAGCAATCAACTATAATTCCTAACAATCAACAATTTATTTAATTCTGATTAAGAGATAAATTATTTTAAAATTGTCATGAAAATCTATAGAAAAAATTATTAAGGAAAATTAGATAGAATATCTTGCTAAATAAAATGCTAATAACATTTTACTTCCTCACTACGGAAGGTAAGGAAGTATTGTATTCATGCGAGAGGTTAAAAAAAATTATGTGCTCAGAATCGGAAATTTCCACTCGCGTTTTACATTTCAGACATCAAGGATCAAATTCAGTTCGGTGTCTGTCTGATATGTGACAGGCATATCACCTAGTAGCGTTCGTCCGATTTTCATGAAATTTTCAGAGATTGTGAGAGTTGGTGCCTAGATGGTCCCATGTCAATTTTATTAAATTCCATCCAGCACTTCCGCTTCTGCACACGCAAACGTATTTTCTTAGATATATTAATATTTGAGAAATAGCTCATTCGATTTGGCTCAAAGTTAGATAAAAGATAGATATTGGTGAAAAAATAATGCAGTGTCGATTTCATTGAATTCTGTCCACAACATTCTCTTATAGATGCGCAAATGTGTTTTTCTTGATACGTCGATATCTCTAAATCCACCAGTTCGATTTGGCTCAAATTTGGAGGGAAGTTAGGGATTGGTAAACATATAATCAAGCATGTATGAATTTTATCAAATTCTGACCACTACTATAAAAAAAACAAAAAAACTTCTGCTTTCAGATCAGGAAATTTATTATTTGACACGCCTATAGTTTGAAAACTGCGAGTTTGATTTGACCCAAACCCAAACTAGAGGAAATTTGGAGAGTAGTATAGAAATTATTAAATCAGTAAAACTGGTATCAGTTTCATTGAATTCCATTTAATAATTAAAATTAATATAAATAGTTGTTGACAATATAATGGCTGTGAAATGAGGCAAGCGTTGATCATCTGGAGTGGGAGTTAGGTTAACACAATATTTTTATGGAGTTATAAAATTTTAGGTTTCATTAAAAAAGTTTTTTAATGTATTGTTTGGTCGCTTCCAAACGATACTGGCATGCCACTTACTGCTGTTACATAGATTTCGTGTAATTTTCAAGTCTTATTTGTGATTGTGTTTATTTCTATTCATTCATAAGTTCAACCAGATCGTCGTGCTCTCGATTTCCTTCTTAAATATCAAAGGTGTGTGAACTTCACGCATATTTTTATATTCCAGCTTAATTAATTTTGTTCTGATTGAAGAAAAGTATTGAAATCGTTTACTCAGAACAAACAAAAAGTTGAATTTTTCCTATGGATTTTTTGTTCCGTCCATTTTACGAGTAAAAACATTCCTAATAAGTATATATTACTACTGTTAGTGCAAAAAGACGTACATAAAAATTTTCAATATTTATTCTATTTGTGCTAAAAGTGAAATTTTGTAGTCAGCAATTGATATAAGCAATCTACCATGGAACATAGCAGAGGGCAACAAAAAATGAAATTATACTAATAAATCATAAAGAAACAATTCGTTTTTACGCTCTCCTGTAAAACACTCAAGTTTTACATACGATTTTTTGCACTAACAGTAGTTTTATTAATGTTCAGTATGCACTTAAATTATTTTTTAATCACGAATCATCAAATAAGCAATCCGCAAATGCGGAATTCTTTCACATTTTAGAGTACGCTGATAAACAAAACTAGTGGATATCTTGTTATATTTCGTCAATTAAAATGTAATATGTTAAGGGATTACTGGATTTCTAGTAACAACTTATCCCAGAGATTTTATTCTTATATGAAAAAATGTAGGCCTTGTAATATAAATATTTTTTAGGCAATGAAACTGGTGAGGAAGCTATACTTACCTTACTTGGCAGATGTTTTTTGTTTTGTTTTTAAACTAATTTTAAATAATATTTATTTCATATAATTTAACAAAAAAATTAATAACATACCCCTGAAAGTGTTGGATGACAAAGGATCTTCAGTATTTTTTGGAACAAGCTCGGTAATAGCTGCTGAAGTTTCATTTTTTTGAGGTAAAAGAGCACTACTACCTTCTATTAGAGGAAGAGAACCACCTTCATTAGAAGAGACAACACCAGCTCCTGCAATGCTTGTATCCACTTTGGAATCCTTTATTTCTCCTTCAACAGTCAACCAAATTAACAATAAATAATTATAATAAAATGGCACATCAAAATTAACAGGCTAATAAAATAAAGAAAATTCTCCCAGATCTATCTTCTATTTCTCTTTTTTATTGGTTATATAATCATCGATTTATTATTGCAATTATAGCAATCGTTTAAGATTAAGAGTACTTGAACTTTGAAATTCTCACATTTATTTCCAACACCTTGCAATATGGTTCAGAAGATGAATATGAGTTCAAAATGTTCACCAACTCAGTTTTTAAAAAAGAAAATAAGGAGTTGAATCTTAGAAAAGTCATTATGTAGAAAGTATTATATTAAAGTTAACATCCTAAAAAAAATAAACTTGAATCAATTAAAAGTGTTGACAGCACAAACCCAGACTTTCTTTGAAACCCTATTCAGTAAATCTTGGTCACAACTTTTCTCTTGATCTTTAGCTTTTAAGTTGCACCCATAAAAACAGCCATACTACTTTTTCATCTCGTATAAGTATGAGTTAAATAGTAATGAGGTATCTCCCCATTACTATTTAACTCATACATTAAGCATACCTTGATCAGTTACTGATACTGGCCCCTTCAGTCCAAATAATCAAGTCTCACAAAAAAGTCGTTGTGAAAGTTAACGGTCTAGTTCAAAAAATTTGTATGAAAGTGAAATTATATATTTAGGGAAGGTTAATGCCTGGAATATATCTATGTAACTTCACCTATTATGTGTATATATATTAGGGAGAATAAGAATAGATACGTAATGCAATGATTCTCGAACAGGTATCCTAGTTAATTCATAATTAAAACTATTTATTTCTGTATTTTTTTCTATATACATGCACCATCTCCTTAGATATTTGTTACAAATAAACAGATGTAATAAATATATAAATAAATAATGCTCACCACCAACTTGTACTGGTATTTGTTGAGAAGAACTTGGTGCAATAACTTTCAGAGCAACTACTACTGGCTTTGGTGTTGACTTAGGGAGCAGAGGCAACAAGCGCTGTACAAATACACCTCGAGATCTTGACCTCCCACGACGATTACAGAATTTTGGTCTAAAAGTCTGATTATAAGATAAACTTCATTAAGTCAAAAATCATTTGTACAATGTGAATTAACTCTTTATCATGAAATGGAACATGTGAAAATATATGCACCTATTGCAGCATTAATGCAATCAGGTATAAGAGAAAAAGTTATTATTTCAAAAATATTATTTTTTAAATTTAAGAATAGTTGCATTTATCAATTGAAAAAACAAAACAAATATAACCACCTGCAATTGTTTCAAAGTATTTAATGTAGAGTTCTGTTGCTTGATGGGAGCTGGAAGGAGAGGATGCTTGAAAGTTCCAGAAACCAAAGTGCTGGGTTGTTCAGCAGTTATCGTCACACCAATATCTTCTGCAGTACGAGTTATTTCAAGTTTTGGCTGAAATATTGATTACCCCATAAAAATACAATTTTTTATTTTTGTTAAAAATAAATATTTATTTTACATTTTTTATTATTTGAGCGATAAGAAAAGTATGATTCATCTGATTCTACAACCTGAACAATCTAATTTTATATTATATAAGTGTTGCTTTGAAAGGATGACCGATGATAATATTTTTACATGATAGGTTTAGAGGCTTATGAGATCACTAATTTTATACAGGACGTTCAGGCTCATGAATTTGTATCTAATTTTGAAATCAAGTATGAATAGAAACAGAATATGCACATCTTGAATAAGAAACTCTTTCCTCTGAATCCCTCTTTTTGATCTCTTATGACACTTCCAATAGTATATAAGAAAAACTTATTTAGGCTTACACTTGCATTGTTCAAATTCGGAACTTTCATGTCAGACAAAAGCAGCTGCTTCTTAGCTGCCGAAGTCTGCGGCCGCTTTACTGCTTTCCCAGAATCAGAACTACCCGTTTTAGATACATTTTTACATTTATGACCACAAGGACATTCAACCTAAAAATAAAAAAATAAAAATTACCTAACATGAAACAACTTTTTAAACTTTAAATTTATCATTTGAAAAATAATAAACTTTAAGTGATACTTTGAATTATAGTTTGAAATACGTATGGAATTCCTTTAATCTCAAATCTTATTGTTTCATTATTCAGTAAATAAAAAGAGAATTGGTCAAATGAATATTCATTAAATGTTGTTCTACCAAAATGGATGACACTATGAGTATATTGATAATTTCTTATTGAATGTTTAATGAAATATTATATGGCTCTTGACTTTTTATGATTCAACCCATTACACCATCTACTATCTTTAAGTTAACATTTACAAAACCATTCTAGCAAAGTACTAGTTTTGAAATAAGTGGATAAACACATTTCCAAGGACTCATAATATCAAATAAGAAGGTATAGGAAAGGGAAGCAGAGATGATGTAATGGGCTGAGTAAAAAAATGAGTGATTTTCTTTTATGGGTATTTTAATGTACTTATATACTTTACTTCAAATGAATATACTATGTTGGAATGAAACATAAAATCCTAGCATATGGCGATGATATAGCTGTACTCGGTAGTAATTAAGAGGATATTGCGGGACTCGCTCGGACTCTATTAAAAGAAGCAGAGCAAATGGGACTACAGGTCAATGTAGATAAAACAAAATACATGATAGTCAGCCGAAACATCCACCCTAATAACATGATCTGCGTGGATTCTAAGTCATTCCCGAAAGTAGACAGATTCAAATACCTCGGCTCCACAATAACCTCAATAAATGATCAACTAACAGAGATAGACCAGCGAATAACAATTGCGAACAGATCTTTCTTCTCTCTTTCAAAGGTACTGAAATCCAGAATTCTCAAAATAAGGGTGTGCAACGCCGTGATTAAGCCAGTTCTGCTGTACGGTTGCGAAACCTGGGCTCTAACCAGAACCTTGACACATGGAGGAGAAGGAACAATAAAGAACTGCTGAAAAAAACGGGTAAGTCAATATCTCATGACATGAAGGCAAGGAGGTTAAGGGCATGTAGCACGTAGTAATCCATCAGGACGCCTCTACACGACAATGAATGCCAGAGTAGTCGGCAAGAGACCACGTAGAAGGTCAAAAACCAGATGGATAGATAGGATAAACAAAGATACGGCTGAGCTTCATGCCGCAAACTGGAAAGCAGTAGCCCAAGATAGGCAGAGGTGGAGAAGGCTGGTTCAGGCGGCCAAAGATCTACAAGGTCTGTAGAGCCAACCGAAAAAAAAGAAGATATATATATGTGTATATGTATATATATATATATATATACTTTACTCATTTTCCAATCAAATTAAGATTTATATCACTTTAATTCATAGAATATACAGAAAATAATGAATACCAAATGACCTCTTTTTGCCTTTAGATTTTTGTTAATATTCAGTTAAATAACAAGAAATTAAGTTTTGAAAAATTGGTAATGTTATATGCCATTATTGAAGAAGAAATTTTTCAATGCCAAAACAATCTCAACTGTTTAGTGCAGCAACTCAAAGAAGAGGATGCTCTTTAAAAAAGGACTGAATAGATGGTTCCAGAGATAGATAATATATTTACACACTAGATACACAAAATATATTTTGAACTTAAAAAGAAATTGTGTTAAATTGCATTTTTTTTTTTTTAATTAGTAAGAAAAACAGGATTTTTATTATTACCCATTTCATTGTAATTAATATAATACGATTATTCAAAATTATTAACTAAGGTTATTGAAACTGGCAAATATAAAAACTATTGAACAAATTAATCAACACCTGAGGAACATGTTATAACCAAGAGCTGGATTTTTATGTGATTACATATTTTGTTTGCATCCAGTTTTTAAACTGGTGATCAAATATTGACCAATATATCCAGATGCAATTAGTCTAATTTTATATTGCATATTTGATAATAATTACATGTTTTCATTATTTCAAACAAATACTAATTAGAATTTTATTAATTTATAACAATGGAAGGGGCTCCTCAACCTCTTACGGGTCATTTTAGTCCTTACAAAATAAATACTAATTAGAAATAGTGAATTTAAATGAAATATAGAATATTTAAAAAAATAAAGAAATTCATTAGTTCATAAGTTCTAAGGGAGATGTTTGTAATGAGGTAAATGAAAATGTAAAGTTTTTGACTAGGCTCTCCCTAGAGAAGGGTCTACACTGAAATTAAGGGATTTTTTAAACAAAAAAAGACAAGTCTTATGATAAATTGAAATGAGACAAAGATAATAAAATTATCTGAAGATGGGTTGGATAAAACAAATCCCAAAACATCACATATAAATTAATAAAAGAAATTTATGGGAGAGAAAAACTGTTTAGATTTTCATATATCTCATTAAATACTTTTATTTAATTTTTATTACTTCCTCTTTATATTTTATGCTACATATTCTATGCTTTATTACTGCACATTTGACGGCTTTTCATTGCATATTACATGACATATTTTGGGGATTTTAACTGCAGGCCTTGATAACAGATGGGACGATTTTATCGATTTATGACAGGATTTTGTACAGAGTGTTCAAACATTCCTTCCCCTCCCCCTCCCCATCCTGGCATTTTTGCCATACGTCTACTGCTGCCAATAAGACTCTTTTATTTTATTTTTTATTCAATTTTAATGGTTGTACACTGTGGTACAACCATTGAGCTAAGCTAAGTCATCCTGGGTTGCTTCCTCCAGCAGCTTGATGCTACCTCTGCAGTGCCTCTTCCTCCGGGCCTGCTGATAGAAGTCCTTTCACTATCGTGAGAGTGTTAAAACAGAAGATGTATTTAGGCAACGATTAATGGTGGTATTGATTTTGATCGGATAGGTTCCGTTTAATGTTTTTTACTATTATAATTCACCCATTACATAAATTAATAGATGTTAGTAATCAAAATTACCATTAAACAAGATAACAATTACTTATCATTGTACTGATGTTCTAACAAAATACCTTGAGCTTGAAATGATATATCCTAGCGAGAGAAACTAGGCGCTGAAGGGCCTTTGTTAGTTCATTGTTGCTGCTTTCATCTTCAATCCACCAATACTCCATTTCAATAACTCCTTTACTCCCAATCTAATAAATTAATTAAGGTATTAGATACTGTAATTACACAAGGGGGAAAAAATACTAAAATTAAAAAAAAAATTAACCATTGATGACCCTCTTGGGTTGATATGGACTGTTATTAAATAACTTAATTTATTTTTGTTAGATTACCATAAACAATACACAGAAAAACTGATGTTTTATTAACAAACAACATTGATATTTAATATATTACTAATAATAGTTTACATTCTATTGTTAATATAAATGTTAGATAAAATACCATTAAAATATACAAGGAACTTAAAACAATTTATCTATGAACCCAGCCCTATTGAATTTGAGCCTTTCACATTGAATATTATTTTTATTGCTAATAAATGTGCCAATCATTCAGCAAGGATTCAACACAAACGTAAATTTGAGCAAAGACCGATGATATATAGGCCTTATGACCTTACTTTATTGAGATTGGTAAAGTTAGAACTTTTTATTTTATTAATTTTGTTCGTTCAATATCTTCCAAATTTTCACTTTCAATATTATTTTTATTGCTAATAAATATGTCAATCATTCATCATGGAATCAACATATACATAAATTTAAACAAAGGCCGATATAACGGCTTTATGACCATATTTTATTAAAATTGGTACACTTTACATTTTTTAAATATTTATTTATTTATTTTTTTACTCATCCTCTCGACAGATTTTCATCAAATACGAATATCCTAAAGACTGAGTTTTACTTTACCGATATATTGGCCATGTGACTTTATTGTATTGAGATTGGTAGACTTTGAACAATTTTTATTTTTTATTTTTTTCTGTTTCTCCCCTTACTCTGATTTGAGCAAATTCTGATATTTCAAAGACCAATATTTTACCTTCACGACCTAATTTTATCCAAATAATTAGAGTTTGACTATTGATTGATTTTTTTGGATGTAAATATAACAATATTCTTTATCACATATTTAAATACAATTACTGGAGAATAATAGCTTAGTGCTGTAGCCATATAATATAGAAAAATAATTTTTATTTTTCTTATATCCATATTTATTTCTGTGAGTAATCTGTGATAAGTACATAAAGAATTACAATATGTATTATTTTTAAAATATAAGGTATATAAAGCTGCAAAATGTAAGCATGTGTCAAGAAAAAATCTATCCCTGAAAGCATAATTGTTCCTGTTTTTCCTTTCTTAGCCCTTCATTTTTCTCCAGAGTAATTACCATTATTAAATTGTTTTTCAATAATCTTCCTCAAACGTAATTCCTAAATTCGCTACTAATGAATCTTACAGTATTGTTATTCACACCTGTAAATACAACAGTATTCTCATTTATAGGAGTCAATACCGTAGCAAATATAGATTTATATTAAAACTTAAAATGTGCAGTAACATTAATATTTATACTTTATATTAATATAATATAGGTAATTAATCACATTTATATTTATATCGATTCAATTGCAATTAATTGACCCATTTATTATCAGTGTAAATAATATTTAAAGTGAAACAACATATAGCATGATATAATAAGGTCAAAAGGCTGATATATCGGTCCATGGGATGACCAAAAGAAATTTGGAAGTAGACAAGCACAAAACCAAAAAAATAGCAAACTCGATCAATCTTGATAAAATTAAATCTTAAGGCCGACAGATAGGCCATTACTTACTCATATTTATGAGAAGGAGTTGATAAGGGGGGGGGGTGCGGTCAAATAAATACTAAATTAAACAAATAGTATTATTCAATATTTGCCAGCCTTAAATTAAATAATACTATTTGTTTAATTTAGTATTTAAACAAAGGTCAAAAGGCCGATATATCAGTCAATGTGATGGGCCGAATAAAATTTGGAAAAAGACAGGGAAAAAATAAAAAATTATTAAACTCAACCAATCTCGATAAAATTAAATCTTAAGGTCGATATATTAGTCTTTACTCACATTTATGTTTATATTGATTCCATGGTGATCAACTGGCCCATTTATTATTAGCATAAATGATATTCCAAGTGAAACTACATGAATCATAATAAAATATGGGCAAAAGGCCGATATAACGGCCTTTTTAATATCGGTATCGGCCAAAATTTAAATATCGGTCGATCACTATTATAACAGATGCATTTTCAGAAAAACAAAAAAGTTTAAGTTTTGTGTGTAAATGGAATTTTAAAATTGCTTGAAAGGACCGATTGATTTTATCTGATTTTTTTTTCTCATTTATAAATTACAAACAAATTTATCATTATAATTCAATTTATTTATTTTATTGAACAGGTTGACTAGAATAGGTTTGTAAGATTACAGATGTAGAATAATCACATAGAATTAGAGAAAGGGAGAAGTATGGGGGGAGGAGGGTTGAATTGATAAAAGTTCAGCATTACACCAGGTAACCATGCTTGATATTTTTTCTGAAATGCTCATCCAATTATGCTGCCATTGCTCATCACTTGTGATGTTATTATTGAATAAAGCTCATTGTGGCGGTAACCTTAACAGTCAGTTGGAAAAATCAATACGGCCACATAAATGACTTCAGAATTATAATTTTGTGCTTATTTAAAGTTTTAATTATAAATTTAGGATTAAAAATAAAATATATCTGTGAATCAATTAATTGAATTAGTAGAAGTTGGCTACGATTGGCCTGCCTAGACAGATTATAATCTGTAATAATTATAAATGATAATCATTAAATATAATTTCATAGCTGTTTTTAAATAATTTATTTATAATGAAAACCAAACTGCATGTAACTCATTAATTAAAAAGAAATTGTATTCAGAAAATTTATCAGGTTTAATATGAACATTTGAAGATACATACCATCAAATACAATTGGCCTATTCTTGTCTTGATACTAGTTTCTTCATTCCATCCATCTTTAATAAGTGCTGAAAATTCTTCTTTATCAACCTCCTTATCTTCCGCTAAATAGTAATGCATTACCTCATTAAAACAATAATATTTAATAAAAATATGAAAAAGGCATTTCATTGAAATATTAGAAAGAATACTCATAGCATTTAGGAATATTCTATTTAGCAATCAAGGTTTTAATTCCAAAAAGAGTATTTTTGATGCAAATCTTGTAACTACAATTCTTTTAGTTCATGCTGTATCCTTGAGTACAAGGGGCTTTGTGAAAAGAACAGACAATAGGATGAAGACAAGATCAATGAGAAAAACATAATGAGTTAGTAAAATCTTTCAAATTGACACAAGCCTAAGTTATAATCAATACATATAGTAATCAGCTATTTAGTAATTATATTTATTACAATAAGGTGTAATTTTATAATTACATTACTATGCTTTATTTGTAATTTGTAAAATTGCAATAATTGAATACTAATTAGTAATGCTTTTGCTAAGTAGAACATTCAGACTAAAGGAAGATGAGTCAACTAGATAATTTAGACGTTTCCACAATGCTGAATTGCATGAACTATATCCAGTTAATATAATTGAGTTGATTACATTGCGGCGAATAAAATTGTTGGATTTAGTAATGAAAGAATACCTAAAAGATTAATATTTGTTGTACAGTGTGCTTAACATCAGTGGGATATACAAAGAAAAGGTGGGAAGATTGTTTCAAGGCTGATATGGTGTGACTGGGTTAGGATGGTGACCAGTGGAGGGAAATATGCACACAGAGATTAGTGGAGTCACCATCGAACCTTCAGTTTCACTAAGCTTTTTATTATTAAAACCATTTTTCAAAAGGCTATGCTTTAAATAATTCTCAACAACCACTTATTGTGATAGAATGAAATAATGTAAAGGTAGTATTTTGTATTTATTTAAATTACTTAATACAATTTTAGAATATCATGTTTGTTAAATTTGTTTAACTAAAATGATAATAAAAATAAAAGGCTTAGCGAACCCGAAGGTTTGATGCTGACACTACCAATCGTTATCTACACACCTCCCTCCACCGATCACCATTCAAACCCATCCCCACCAGATCAGCCTTAACACAATCTTCTCACCTTCGTTTCGGGCCACCTCTCAGACATTACCAGTCAGCACAGCAAACGTTAACCCTTTTTTATGATCAAACCCAACAATTTTACACGCCCATTTTATTCGCTGCAATATAATCACCTCAATTATATAAATCATTTATAAAGTTCATATCTCTGTCGGCGAACTGTTCTAAAAATGTTTTTTTTTTCTTATGCCAGTCGTTGGTCATTTGGCCATCCGACATCTTGCTGCCCAGTATAATTTAGATTTTCTGATATGTATATTTGAAAATATTTTGTCTCTTATGTCCCTCAAGGCAGGACATGCGTCTAGATGGTCTGCATCCATTGTTTCTAGATGACACAATTTACAGGTAGGATCTTCAGCGACGCCTATCTTGTAGAGATGACTCTGCAGATAGTCGTGACCAGTAGCCAGGCGGAAGCAGGCAACTGCATCTCTTCTCGGCAGCTCAGCTGGAATCGGATTATCCTTCAACCACTCGTAACGCTTCCCTTCCACTTTGCCGAAATGTACTTTTCTTATTTTCTCCTTCACTACCATCTTCACCATTCGCCGTATTGAGTCGTAAAGTTTTGGATGTATCGGCTGAGGCAAATCTGTTCCTCGCTTGGCAAGAATATCAGCCTCAACGTTACCCGGAATCCCACAATGGCTGGGGATCCACTGTAGGACCACATTGGTGCCTCGGTGTGTCAGGTTAGAGAGGAGGGATTTACATTCCAATATAGCACTCGATAAACATTCATTCGTGCTTGTGACAGCAAGGATGGCTGCTTGGGAGTCGATGAAGAGAACAGCGCTCTGATCCCGCCTTCTAGACAATGTTCTTAAGGCTATGAGGATCGCCGCTATCTCACCGTCGAAATTATGTAAAAGCTCCATTAAATCAACTTTTGTTTGATATGGTTGTTTAAGCACTCATAATAAGGACTTCATTTTCAAACCCTCAGTATTTAATTAAATTCCATATTGTCAAAACTTATTATTTTGGTTATATTCTGAGATTGACTAATCTATATTTATGGTTATTTTCTGAGATTGACTAATCTATATCTTTGTAAAATATGTGGATAAAAAACACTTTCACTCTTTAAATATCTTACACTAACATAGAAACAACTTACCACCCCAATGATCAATCACAAAAAGTGGTTAAATTTCTTTAAAAATTCTTTCGTCTTCAATCATTTTACTTCCAAAATTGTACACTGTATCTTTGTATTATTTTCCTTTACTTGTATTATATTGCTTTTATCGGTGCTCTAGTAGTTGTTAAAGAATACAATGCATATATATACCTCTATTTATTGATTATAGTCATCTATTTATTCGTGACTTAAAACACTTTTCCTTCCACATTTTTGAAAATGTTATTAAAAATATTTCATAAATCCATCGACAACTTCCTTTGAACCATTTACAGGCTTGACAGGAGTCCATCAGTCCAATTCTCTGACTTTTAACTGCCTTGAATAAAATTTCTTGAGCCCCTCCCTCCTCCCAAATAAAAAACGGACAAAACAGATGAATTATAATGAAAATCTTTAGTAAAAATGTTCATAAATAACTATCACAAAGACTGAATAGTAAAAATAATTTTAAAAAGTCAAATTATACATGAGCATATAAATATTAGAATATTAATGTAAAAAAAACATTAATTATTATCTTCAACTTACAGGGAGGGAATATGTAAAAGGAATACAGAGTAATTCATAACTAAAAGCTATGAAATGATTATTAGAATGGCCAGGTCTAATGTTGATAATGAGATTCTGGGAAAATAAAATTACTTGAGAAAATTATGTCAATAATTTCAATAAAATCTTTATTTTTGCCAACTGATAGATAACTCTTCTAATACTAGTGATGCGGCTGGAAAAATGGCACTGGGATCTCCTGGAGTCTTGCTTTGCCTTCCACATGTGGGGAAAAAGCCTGGCTCGGAGATTCCTGGGCGAGAGAGGATTCTGTTGTCCCAAGGTAAAGGGGGCTGTGTCAGGCCAATCACCCATCCGAAGTAAAACTGATTCAAAGACTATCAAATAGTCTCGGAACTGGATAGTCTATTGGTAACAGACACAGTATGGATAAGGATATTCAACTAGGTATATGGAACATCAAGACCCTTTCTGGTAAAGAGATCAAACTTGTTGGCGAAATCAATAAGTACAAGGTGGACATTATGGGTCTGAGTGAAACTAAGAAGAAGGAAAATGGCAGGTGGAGTGACGTTTGCTATGATGGATGAACTGTTTGACAGGATGGAAAACTGAGAAGCTGTGTCACCACGCATCACATTAGCTAACATCCAACTCGCTATTGGTAAAATCTCAATCATCCAGGTTTACGGTCCTACAGAAGACTCACCAGTTGCTGACAAGGACCTGTTTTATGAAGACCTACAGATATCTGTTGACAAAGGCTCTGTTGAGAACAGAGTTGGTTGTTATCTGTGGATAAGTTAATGCCAGGACAACACCAACTGCCATGGAGTAATAGGTCTATGGGGTGGTGAAGAAGTTAAAAATGATAATCACCAGAGATTGATAGAATTCTACATAGAGAATGATATGCTTATTGGGAATTCTCACTTCAGACATAAGTCAATAAATAAATTACTTTTGAAGCAGAAGGAAGGGAGACCAAAAGCATAATAGATTACATCATCTATGACAGAGGAATGCATACATATTTGACAGATGTAAAAGCAATAACAGGGGCAGAGTTAGGCACCGATCATCGCCTGGTTGTTGCTGATACCAAAATTACTAAGCCATGGAAGAGACACTTCAAAGCATATGAACGAATTGCGGCCGAAAAGTTCAGAGATCCAGAAGTGATTAAAAGATATAGAGAGGTGCTACTGACAAATATACAAGAAGTCAATTATAACATGACTCTCGATGACCTATGGCTTCATATCAAAACAATCATCCTTTCTAGTAGAACAGAGGCATGTAGTATTAAGAAAATAAGGCCAGACCAAAAGTAATAGATGGTGGTATGATCAATTGCAAAAAGCAGTAAAAGATAAGAAAGAAACATGCAGTCTATACAAGCAAAATAAATCCCAAAATTGTCGGCTGAGATGTGGAAGAGCAAGTTCTCATAAAATGTAATAATGAGCCATTAGAAAAGGTAGATAATTACCAGTGCTTGAGCACGATTTTCTGCAGAGATGGAAGGATCGCACTACAATATTAGGAAAACAGCAGGTAAAGAAGAAAACAAAAATAGCTTTGTTTAAAACAGTATTTCTGTCTGTCCTTGACAAACATGCAAGTAAAGTAACGGCAATAGAAATGAGATACCTCAGGAGAGTTCTTAGAAAAACATGAAGAGACTACTGGAAGAACGAGAGGAGCGCCAACTGAAGTGGTTTGGCCATGTGTACCGGTTAGGTGATAGCCAAAATGCAAAATGCTTCCTAGAAGCAAAACCAGAGGGAAGGCGACGTAGAGGCAGGCCCAGGCTGTTGTATTGTCACTACATGAAGAGACTCGGGCGAGTCAGAAGTAGCACCATGGTGGATATGAGAAGGAGGGCCAGTGGCAGGGATCAGTGGACGAGATGGGCCAAGGCTGTTCCACCAGGCTGATGGCACTAAGGAGGAGGCAAAAGAAGAAAAATTTTATTGTGTAATCAAAGAAACTTCTACGGGATATAGTTTGGAGATCCTTGACATAGACTGTTGATTCTATTTATTAAATAAAAGACCTACAATAAGGATTATATTTTTAAATAATAATAATGACTTCAATCAATAACATTAATCAAATAAATTGCTATATCTAGTGTTTGTTATTAATCATAACTGCCTGGTATCATCATCATCCAATGGTGCTATGGTCCTTGCAGAACCTTTGCCCTCCTCTATTGTTTTCCTCCACAACAGATCTGTCTTCGACTGCCCGTCTATCTACCTACGCCCAGACCCCTTAGAATCTTTTTTGACATTTTCCAGCCAACAGAGTATGGGCCTACCTCTTTTCCTTCTTCCATCATCATCATTTTAGGGATCCTTCCATGTTCCATTCTTTGCACATGACTCTGTTCCCTCTTTATGGTGGATATAATGACTGGGGGCATTATATAGCTTTGTAAGCTCTTCATTCATCTTCATCCGCTAAAGATTTCCTTCTTCGGTAGGGCCATATATTCTATGAAGGATCTTTCTTTTCCACATGTTCATAGCTCCTCTTCGTTAAGTGTGTGTTCAGGACTTCATGATTTTAATAAATTAAGTAATTATCTATCATAATGTCATTATATCATATTGATAATACCATAATCAAATTATACCAAAATACCATAAAAACAAAACAAAATATTTCCCATAACTTATTAGAAATCTATCCAATTTTCTTACCATTTATTGGAGGTTGCTCAACAGATGGCAGATTGAGTGAGGAGAATGAGACCAATGGGTCCATAAATTCGGTGTTAGCAACATCTTCTACTGCATTGGCTCCTTCCTTTTCTTTTTTAATTGTTCCTTTGGTTTTACCAGCATGCAGCTTTGATTGATGAATTAAAAAAAATAATACAATATATAAGTTCTTTGAACTGAGAAATGTATCCTTATTATTATATTTTTATGGTACAAAAAATAAAAACATATATATTTAGTCAGTGCCGGCCTTAGACATACGGTGCCCCCGACCAATGAAGTCATCTCCCCTCCCCTAAAAAAAATTAAGTTTATTTCTTAAGCTATCTAATACAGCTGTTTTATTGATGGACTAAACTTAATTATTTTAATACCTTTTGTATTTTTTATTAATTTATAGCAATTACCCACTACCCCTTAAGATCGGCCAGCACCCCCAATGGGCGCTCCTCCATGTCGGGGTCCCGCCCAAAGGCCGACACTCTATTTAGTGAAAACACATATTTGTTCATGAATTAACAGCATACTATTCAGAATGAAATAATTATAAATTCAGTCATCTTTATATCCCCCTTGGTATAGAAAATTATAAAAACACTAATGCAAAGCGGTGATCTTGATAGACGATGATTAACAAGACTGATTCGTTTAAAAAAAACAATCCTATCCTACAGGAGCTGCCTCTCCTTCTACTTTCTAGACCTATTTTGTTCCTATTGATTTTTTTTCTGTTGTTTGGCATTCATCATACATTGGACAGCGTTATCAGCTATATTATAATGTTGTAAAAGTAACAAAGGTCATTTTTTTGTCGAATTAAGATTTTTCTTTATGTGTCATCACAGGGAATATATAACTCTGGTTCACACAAATTCACAGCTGTTCCTAATGAATTCAAAATCAATCAAAATTCAAAATTTGGTTGGGTTGACAAGTATCAAAATTATTGATTTACAAAGGCTTGATGAGTTTTTCTATTCCAAATGAAGAGGTAAAGAAGATTAATTTGCAATGGCTTCTCTCTGTGATGATGGTTGGAAAGAAGTCAACGAGAACTATACATTGTGGTACATGAAAAACACTTTCTTTCATCAATGTTGATGATACAGGGTGAAGAGGATATTAGCTATTTTTTCAGAAAAATAGTTTACGAATACGAACAAGGAGGTCTCAAAGTAAATTAAAATAAAACTAAATATACATACATGGAGAGAGAAGAGTGCATCAACCCAACATAAGAAAAGCTGAGTAAAGTTGAAAAGTTCTGTTACCTGGAATCTACATGGGTAATGGCAGAATGGATGCAGAAATAAAAAAAACCAATTAACGTTTAACTATCTACTGTGGAGCAGCATTGATTTAATAAAACAGACCCAAAAGCATTGGTAGAAAATGCAAAAAAAATGATCAGAAGGATCACCATAAGAGAGAAATTGGAAGTAAAACAAAATCTTCTAGAGGTGTTGTAAGCTAGAAGAGACTTAGATGGTATGGCTAAGTGAGACGAATAAGTGACAATAGGATACCAAAGCTAATTATGGATTGAGAGGCAGAGGGTAGAAGAAGAAGAGGAAGACCCCAAGTTAGATGAATAGATAAGGATAGAGTGGATTTTAGGGCTGTTGGAAGAGAACAAGGTGGTCTGGAAGAGGATTGGTAGAGGAGAGACCTGTTCAGACAAGTTAGGTTGAAAGAAATATATACTGCTATTATTCATCTTATTACATTTTATTTTGATGATTATATTAAAATATATTAGTGGATTGAAAAAAATGATTTTTAACATTATGACTAAAATTCAAACAATTAACAATAACTATAGAGGTTTGACCACTCCAAGTGCAGAATAATGATTGTAAAGAAGGAATTTTCTATAAATATAGAAGTTAGAATGATAAGATAAAATACCTGATCTAAAAGTGACTGAACTTCAGCAACTTCTCCACCTACCCTTTGTACATAAGATAATAAAGAGACAGAAGCACTAGTAACAGCTTGTCCACATTTGTACTGAGGGTGTGTAATAACAGCTGTACTTTTTGGTCCAATTCTCAACTCACCTCGCTAAGATAACAAAAAAATAAAAAAATTGAAAATCATATTTTCTTATGATGTAAATAAGAATATCACTTACATAATTGTATTTAGTGGAGAGTATATTTTTTTAGTGACTATTTCGTTTATTTTAAAATTCATTCATAGTACTAATGTTTGATGATGGTAAATCAGCTGTGCTTGATAGGGATGAGAGATTCGCCGGAAAAAGGAATTGAATTTGAGAATTGTTTTTCTTTGTAGAAAAAATCAAATTAATACTAGATTGTTATAGTTATAATTTGAAAATATTTTTTTGATCTGTATATACAATAACTGATTGATCTAATAACAGATTAAAATTCATTTTGTAATAATTATTGTTGAGTCATTCAGTTTAAGTAAAATATAACAATTAATTAAGAGAAGTTGGGTGGGGTTTTCAGTCAAAATACAAAGTAAAAATAAATAAATTATATTTATTTTTATTGCAGTTGTACTGATGTTTCAAGCCTTCATCAGGGTAATCCACTCAAAAGATTTCAGACCAATGAAATCTTTCACAGTTCTGTGCACCTCTGCAGCCCCTCCAAATAAATTTAAAGGGTAACAAAGTGTGCCTGAAAATTGAGTTTGAGTTAGGAAGTGCCTATTTGGGGTTTGAACATTTTTCTATAATCCTAGCTGTTTTTTGAGTACCTCTACAGCCCTTCGAATTAGTTAGAATATTGAGAATTTATATGTTAAACGACTTGGTGTTACAGAACTTACAGTAGGGCAAGGGGCTTGATATATTTTTTTCAACCACCATCATTTATTACATGATTTTTAAGGTTGTCCCACAGCTACACCCCTTCTAGAAAAGGGTTGAAAATTTGTTTGAAAATTGGATTGGTCTTTTTTCTCCATCCATGCCTTTTAGATAAATTAAATCTGGAAACAATTATAAAATATTAAATATATATATTGGAGGCCTTGTTTTTGAAAATACAATAAATGTTAAGATAGTGCAATTGTGTATTGATTAATTTTTTTATTTAGTCGCTTTTTTAAGCGATTAATTTCTTAAGAGTCTAATTTTTATACTATTTGATGAAAACCATTGATTTTAATACTGCAGAAATGGTATAGATTTATTTTTTAACATATCGAATTTGACTGCTTCTTACCTACCCCAGCCAATAGATAATCTTATAAAATAAAAAACGTAGGATTAGAGCCCTAGGGCATACTAGATATCCATCATACAAAACAGAACTCATCAAACTAACTCGAAAACTTCACGAACAACTATTAACATTTAAAAACAACAACTATAAAGACTATATACACACAATAAACAATAGAAATGGATCAATATGGACAACAACAAGACTTATACTAAAGAAAAAAGACCTTCAATACACTATCCGATATACAGACAACACCTGGGCAATAACAAGCAAAGAAAAACCCAATGAATTCCCTAAATATCTTGCACAGATATTTGGGACGAACACAATACAGAACAATAATCTTACTAACACAATAGAAGAATTGACAACACCACTACCCCCACCGGCATTTCATTCAAAAGAAATTTACAAAGAAATCAACAGACTACCAAACAAAAAAAGCTTCTGGCTATGATTTAATCACTCCCTTTATTCTTCTACACCTACCTCAAAAAGATGTTCTCTTTCTTACACATATCTAGAACTCCATTTTATGTACTACCAATTTTCTTCTCCTTTGGAAACTCTCCACAGTTAAAATGATTCCTAAGCCTTCAAAACCTACCACTACTACTTCATCCTATTGTCCTACAGCACTTCTCCCAATAATGGGAAAAATATTTGAAAACTACTCCTGAACCATCTAAAGCCTATACTAGGAAGTAGTGACGTGAGAACAAATCATCAGTTTGGCTTTCGTTGTTATTACTCTACTGTGCAACAGTGCCATCGGATAGTAGACGCTACCTCTGTTACTTTTGAGTAAAATGAATATTGCTCTGCGGTCTTTAGCATTTGATAGTGTCTGGCACAAGGGCCTATTACGGAATCTAAAACTGCACTTACCTTCCACTTATTTTTTAATTCTTCAATCCTACTTTCTTAATAGATTTTTCTGTACTTCCGTAGATTCTTCTGTTTTTTCCTTCTTCCCCCAACACATTAGCGTACCACAAGGTAGAGCCTTAAGCCCAATCCTCTATTTTATATACATCTCTGATATCCCTGAGCACCCTAGTACCACCATTTATTTCTTCGCTGATGACACTACTATTCTATCTTCACACAAAAATCCTACTATCGCATCAAAAGACTAACTTGGAACATACATACAAAATTAAAAAGACAAGAACTTTCTAGATGATATAGCCAACTCTCACATATTCTGGACTACAGATCTTCACTTAACATACGAAACAAGTGACTGGTCTACGCCACCTTGCTGAGACCCACAGGCTGATCTATGGAGGGAGGGGGCTTTCGGGCTGAAGCCCCCCAAAATGGTAAAATGTAATCCTGTTTTATGGGAAAAATATTAAAACATTATCTCTTAAAGTATTATTGTTTGTGTAATTACATTTAATAGGACTTAAACTATTATTTGAACTATTAATTAAACACTATTTCATATAGATAGTTAGTTTATTTTTTTTTTTTTCAAAGTAATTACCGTTACATATATGGAAAAAAAAAACCTATCGAGCTGAAGCCCTCCCCAAAATTAAATCCTGGATCCGCTAGTGCTGAGACCAATATGGACATATGGAGCAGAACTTTGGGGTTCGGCAAAACAAACACAAATAAACAAAATACAAACAGCACAATCAAAAATTCTAGTAAAAATTTTTAACACACTTTGGTACATTTCAAATAAAACTATACATAATGGCTTAAACATCCTAACAATAAAATCCTACATCCACGACAAATACACTACATTTCATTCTTCAACCCAAAATATCTCCGATCCTCTGATTCTTTCTATCTCCTGCTCCCTGTTACCTGAACGACGCAGATTAAGAAGAAAATGGGCAAAAGACCTACTATATCGATAAAAACAAAATTAAGCAAATACACCAAAACAGTATAAATACAAAAAATTTGCTAGATGCGCTACCCCACAGATGCAAATTGCATAGAATATAAATAAATAAAGAAACTAAAAAAAAAACTTATTGAACTTTTTTTCTTTAAGGCCGACAGGCCACCAAAAGCGCAGTGGAGCTGAGCTGAATCAGCTTCCAAAAGCGAATCAAAGGTTTTTATGACAGGCAGGCCACCATAACCAGAGCTGAGCTGAGCGTAGTTTAGTGGCGTAGCAAGGGTCAGCTAACCTCAGCTTTGGTTCAACTGAGATTCGGTTTTGGAAGCTACGCTCAGCTTCCATCACCATATCTACTTACCACTTTCACACAACCGTGGGGTTTTGTTCCTCAGTGCCATCCTTTTTTTTCCCAGTTGTTTTCACTGCACAACCTCTAAAATTATTTTATTTTGGTTCAGTGTGAAATATGCAATGTATGTGGAAGAATTCTTAATCGAATGTGTAAGGGAAAATATTCGATTTTATTCATAAATTTTCGATATTTTTCTTTTCAACTGCGACATGATCAACTTTGCTATTTTTTCAAAATGTTATATATGCTATATATATATATATATATATATATACACTTTTTTTTTTAAATGTTATACAGAATATGAGAAGGATACCTATGCAAGGCAAGTTGCTGAGTAAGCTGAGCTCCAGTACACAATCGGTTGCCAACCCCTTCTTGCTACGGTGGCCAGTCACCCAAAGGGTCTACTAATGTTTGATTTACTTTAATTTTACACATTTCTTAAAAAATCCATAATAATATATGAATGAATCCTTATAATCAAAGAAATTCAAAAAGCTTAAATAAACTAATGTATGATTGCAATTGTAAAAACATTTTCAAAAAGTTGATCTCCAATAACATAATAACAACCCCTGTACTGAAAAAATCAAAACTATTCTACTCTTGTTAAATGAAGCACTGAATTACTTTGAAAAGTAATCAAAGCAAAAGATTTCTGGGTAGAACAGGAAAATAGAAAGTATTCATGAGGAGAGTTGAGTATTTTTGGTATTCTTGAATCATCGACTAAATTAATGATTAGATTTTTGGTATTCGGCAAGGGTTGGTATTGAGTAAAATACACTATAATGAAATACTAGCCAGTTGTACTTTTTACTCAGAGTACCGTTTTTCCTTCTTTAATGGAAATATTATACAATCAGGATAAAAAACTATTAGAAGATAAAAAAGGACAAAACCAATTTAGTTAGTGATAAAAATTATATCATATAAATTAATAAAAGTTATTAACTAGAAATAGAAATTAAAATTTGATAACTAGATACCTGTGCTGGAGTAGCCCATCTCTTTCCAAGAAAAGTTATTAATGAAGATAAACTGGTGTCAAGACCAAGAACAGCTCTAACTCTTGGATTGTGCCCTGTTGTTCTAGCTCTCGTAGAATCTCTGTTTGTTCTAGGAGTCAGCAGTACTTCTACCCTCGTAGGGAGTCGGACTTCTTCACAATCATCTAAAATTTAAAATACAATATCAAAAAGCGTCCTAAAATGGTCCCTCTCCTTCTTATCCGATCGATCTCAGACTGTTGTAATTCTGAAAAAACCTCCATCATCTCCCCTTCAACTAATACTAGATGTTCTTTAGGGTTTCTCACTCTCCCCGACCCTTTTCTCTATTTACATTAGTGACCTTCCTGACGCCATTCAACACTCCTATTACCACCTATATGCCGATGATTTCCAAATCTATCAATCATTCCCACCTTCCGAGATGGATGAGGCTGCCCAAAGCTACAAGAAGATATCGACTGCATCAACAGATGGGCAGAAATAAATGAATTAAAACTAAATGCAGATACAACTAAGGCAATTCTCATTGGGTCCAGACATCTCATTAGATCCCTTCCTTACTTTACCCTATTTTACCTTAATAACCATCCTATCCATTTTTTCTCTACAGTCAAAAACCTAAGAATCACCTTTGACCAGAACCTCTCCTGGAGTAAACATATCTCCCAGATTACATGAAAATCCATAACTGTCCTTAAACAACTCTTAAGATTCCGTGATTGTATTCCTCTAAAAACCAGACAGCTCCTTGTAACCTCCTTTATTTCCCCCACTTCGACTACGGCTGTTTGGTGTATGGAGGGCTATCTGCCAGACTAGAAATGAGACTGCAGAAACTCAAGAACTGTTTCATAAGATACATCTTCAGAATCCCCATGCGTTCGCATGTTTCATTCTGGTACACCGAATTGAAACGGCTTTATCCTACTTCCCGACGACAATTCCTCCTTGGTGTTTTCCTTTTCAAAGTATTCAGAACCAAAAACCCTCCCTACATCCTGGAACTCCTTGCTCTACGCTCCTCTATCCACTCTCTCAATACTATGTTTTAACCTATAGATTTATAGATTTCCTCCCATAAAACTACTCCCATCAGAAAATCTTTCGTCATTCATGCTACCTCCTTTTGGAACTCTCTTCCTACCTCCATACATCAATCCTCGTTCTACAAATTTCTTCAAACAACTCCTGTTCCACCACCTACTCCACATTCAAACGTCCAGTAACATGTAAAATTACTGTTTAATTTCAATCTACTGCACAATTGCAATAACAATAAGCAGTTAATTAGTTTGTATTTTTATTATTTTAAGCCAGATTAATACCCATAAATTTGTAACACTGTTATTATTCTTAAAGGACTGTAGTCCTAAAATAAAATTATTTTTTTCATTTCAATGATTCAAGAGATTTATTAACACCTTGACCTCCAAGATTAATTGACTTGGAATTTGAACAAATATAGTAGTCAAAATTGTAGGGGTCGAGAGAAAAAGAGAGGAATGTTTGGTAAGGGCAGTGAAGAGGGACACATTGATGCCTCAATTCAAATGAAAAAACTCAAAAGTCAATGGTTTTCAGTTTTCCTCTGATACCTATGGCCTGCACCTCTTCTTCATAGTACGAAATGGATCCATTTTTAAATGCCTTCAGCATCGGTGTAAAAGTTTATGTTTCACCAAGGAATATTTCATTTAATTTCTTTTTAGTTTGTTGTAAATGTTTGAGCTTGTTTATGTGAAAACCTTGACTTTTGAGTTGTTTCAATATTGAACTGGGCCATTAAAATAGCATGTGGGTTTCGGCCAATGATGTCTGTGAATCAAATCAGGCCCTCACTGCACAATAAGAGAAGAAATTGTTTTTTACATACAGTGGTGCCAAAATGCTATGACGATTTTCATGAAATTTGCTTATAATCTTCTACTTAAAATTCTTTTAATTTTAATATATATAATGAATAACCGAGAAAATGCAGGGAAAAAAGCTATAAAGAAAAGAAAAATGTTTTTGGGCCTAACTCACAAAATATACATTTTGGAGTAAATTTTATACATAATCTTATTAGAGGTAATTAAATTCCCATCAAAACAGTCTGTGCAGATAAAATCAGTGCATCAGTACTCCCATACTGTTCCAATGTAATATATATGTATGACTGAGACGTAAGAAGCTGTACTGTTCGGATGAATATTCCTTAACTATTTGAATTCCTCCTTTTTGAGCAAGAAAGAAGAGAAAGGTCAAAGAGGAAACAGGTCAATGCATCTTCCTGTTTTGTTTCTTTGTAGGATATTAATTTTTAAAAAAATTAACATGTTTGCCAGCAATTTTTAATTGCATAATGGGATAAAATTGTTAATTAAATTAAGTTTTGATTAATTTATGAATGCTATATTTGTATAGCAGCTGATTATTTTATGTGCAACATGTCTATTTTATGCTTTTCCATGTCAAGCTGTTGACATTTGAACTGAAGTGAGGATACTACAGCTGTCATTTCCACTTTGACCTCAATTTGACTTTGTGATATCTATACCATTTTATGAATAGTACGGAGAATCTGCTTACAAATAATTCTTTCGAATAAATACTTCCCAACTTATTCTGGACTAATACATGTGGTCATGAATCATCAAAGAATTTCCATACAAATTACAAATCATAATTAGATTGATGAAACAAATTAATCACCTTCCAAATTATTAAGTCTACGAAGAGCTCTGCATATGGGTGTTTTGATCCTCCAAGTTTTCCCTCTAACTCTAACTTGTGTTCTGCCACTATAAATTAACTCATTCAGCTTTTGTGAATTCTTTTCTGTTATATGACACAATTTCTTGCGTAACTCACCAAAATTAATTAGGGCATACAGTTCTTGAGTTACCTTCTTTATATCTACAAAATAAAACAATAATAATTAAGAGAAGTTAGAAAAAAAAAGTATTGTTTAAAGGTATAATTGAGGGTTATTATATGAATAAAAAAATTATATAAAACTTTTTATTAATTAAGAGAAAAAAATAAATAAAAAACTTACTAGGAGGAAACTGGACATATCTGCTTAATTTATGCCAAGCTCTGTAATAAAAGTACCTTGCCTTTTCCCTATTTTTTGTTGCACCGTCGCCCCGTTTCTTGGCACGATTAAGCATGTATTTCTCAATTGCATCAAAATTTTTACCTGCATACAAAGATAACAAAATTATAAAAAAGAAAAACATAAATAGCACTATTTTACTCTCCATAATAATATTTTGCCTAAACAGAAACATGACTGCATTGTTTTCTTTCCAGTTTATTCACAAGCTATATTTATTAATCCAAGATATATTTTTACAAACCATACCCTACCAATTTTTTTTATTTTCCAACTAAAGTGAGGCCACAAGAAGGGTTATGTGAGTTAGATAGATAAGAAAGGTAAGTACCTTAGGTTGAGTCCTAGTATGTAACGATTATTCGAACAAACAACTGGACTGATTTTTAAGTTTGATAATTGAAATTATTAGATATCACATGAGTTTTTGAAAAAGAAACATTTGAGCTCAAAATACACACAAATAATTGTATAAAATTGGTTTAATCTATGTGCTAAAAGGTATGAAGCATTTTTTTTTAGCAAATGACTGGTCCAATTTTTAAGTTTAATGGTTCAAATTATTCGGTGAGACCATGCATATTTTGAAACAATTTGAAACTGGTGTAGTAGTCTGGTGTCTTCTACTTTACCTATAGAAATCATACAGAAACCTTAAAATAGCTTCTGAAACACATTTAATTATTGACTCAGTATGAAATACAATTAGAACCTTCGTTGACTCATTATTTATTAACAAAGTGATGGATATAACCATAAAAACTAAAGAACAATCAAAAGAATAGTGTTCTTATTATATTATTTTCATGAAAAATGATATTAACAAAATTACAATTTGCAATAAGATAACAATTATTACAGCCATTATGATTGAATTTGTTTTGTAAATAAATAAATACCAGCAATCATAAGAAAACATGATACCTCATAAGATATGTAATCTTAAATGTCAAGTATCTTCTCAGCATCCATTTCAAAGATTCTTACAGAGATTTTATTATTTTCACTGACAAATCAAAACAGTTCATCAGTCAGTGAGACCATTTCAGATGTCAATGACACTTTCAGAGATTATTAAATCTTTAATTAAATAAATTATTAATTCATTCAATATACTTTTATTTCATGAGTTTTCATTATTAATTATTTTTTTTTTACTTTCTAGAAAAACAGATATTTTTTGTTCAATTTAAAATTTTAAGATCTCGGATTTCTCAAGCCTAGATCATAAAAGAACTTGGCAAGTTTTAAATCGATGTGTGAGCAGCTGACAAGTGTGCTGAAGAAAATTTTCATTAAAAACTAGTCAATATTATGAATATGATTGCTGATTGTATGTCATTGATCCAGTACAACATATGTTTATCAAAATCAGTAAAGCATACAAATAATTATTCTATCATGTCTAAGTATTGTAGGACAATCAGTTGTCGAATTTTACAGTACACTGAAGTTGTAAATATCAGATGAGGAAATATTTTATAACATACAAGGCTTCCACATTATTTCTTAGCAATCACGTATTAATCATTGGTACAATAGCATTCATCCACCTTAATTCATAAATCAAAACTTCGGAGTTGAGCTATGCGGCTCCACTAAACCACCGAATTCCTCTCGTATCCAATCCTTACAATCCAAAATCCTTCGTAATATCCTCAATGCTCCCTACTTTTTTACAAATAAAACCATCCATAATGACCTTATTAATGTTCCTTTTGTTTCAGATCTGGCCCAATCCAGATACCTATCCTTCCATAATAAACTTCAGAATCATCCCAACCCTCTTGTTTCTAAACTTGCTTCCTCTTCAATTCCTGATAACCCTCCGAGGCGTCTGAAAAGAAGATGGCCCCGTGATTTCCTAATGTAAACATATCATTAGAGTGCTACCATTGGGTAGTTACTTAGCAAGTGTTTTTCATGTCATTATATACATTATGTTCTAATTTACTAGATGTATTTATTTAATACAGTTGTAAATGTTTTTAAGAAATAAAAAAAAAATAAAAACTGAAGGATAAAATTTTGGCACAAAATTGATCTGCCATATTTTCTATTCGTATAACATACATTTTTCAATGAACTTTCAAACTGTAAAAATTACAAAATTTTACCATGTTCATTGAGTGCTTCGAAGAATGCAGCTTTGTCATCTGCAGACCACAAAACTGGGGCTCTTCTTCGGCGTTTTTCTTCAGTAGCAGCAAGTACATTAGCATTACTGTTTTCGCCTACATAAAAAAAATCAATTCAAATAAATGTATTCATTATACTATAAAAAATTAAAATGAAAAAATAAGGGAAAAGACAACAGCCAACTATAACATCAAATATGACTAGAAAAACCTGTCTAATGTGAAAAGCTTGCTCTTTTGGAATGGGAAATGCCAAGTTTTGAAAAAAAAATTATTCTTTTGCGTAGCCGGAAAATACACGTAGGTTCCTGAGGCAATATTTAATAGTAAATGTTTAAAACTATTTGGTAAAGAAGGTCCAGAAAGAATATAAAATTGGTCACCATAAAGTTATTTTCTGCAGGTCTCTGCTGTTTGACCCCACAGAATGTCACACTCCACTTTCTGCAGCAATTGTGATAATAAAACCCATGTTCATAAAGATATCATCAGAAAAGTAATGAATACTTATATGAGTTTCTGCATTATGGGTTCATTAGGCTGTATTTATGAAAAACCATCAGCTGCACCTTCATTGTGCATTTGAGCAAGAATACTGAGAGCAGAAAACATACTTGATTACTAAAATATGTTTACGTGGACCACATTTTCCTGTTGTTTTCCTAGAATACTTTTACTTATTGCGGTAGGCTCTGTCTATAAAAAATCCTTTCATGACTACAATTCCGTTTTTTTTCAAGCTGACTCCCATTACCCTTTTTTTCTATAATCTCGTACTGAGTAATTACAGATTGCCAAATATATGTTGTCAGACTATTTATTACTAGCTAACTAACAAGTAAAATGTAACACGACTCCCATCATGAATTGCCAGGCTGTCAGAAAATCTTGATATTAGACATAATTGATTTTGTGAATCGTAAAACTGGCTACAAATGAGCTCAGACAGTGAGATTCAATTTATTTGTTAAACAAGTCACAGATTCGTTAAACATCAATCCAGAAAGCACAAGTTCTTTGACACTCATGATGAATTACTGTTACAATTATTGTTGCAAGAGATTATTAAAAGAAGCTTATAATGACATTATGTGTTACCAGGGAAATAAAAGGTTTAACCTTTTCAGACTTTTAAAATTATTTGATGAATATTTTTTCTTATCTGAATCACTTTTTGGAGATGCTGAATCAATAAATGAATGGGTAGCCCACATTCAGGACCTGGCTTCCCATTGTGCTTTCAAAAATTATCTTGATTTTATTATGTTAGATAAATCTGTAATAGGTATGAATAAAGGACCGTTAAGGGATCTGCTGTTCGAAGAAAATTCTACAAATATTTCACTGCCTAGGTCTATAGAAATAGCTACTGCAAAAGAGGCTACATATAGGCAGTATAATTTAGATAAAGTGGTTAAAAAAAAACCCGTGCACTTTGTTAGTAGAGAAAAAGATAGGACATCAGCCTCTAGGGGGCAAACTAATAAAAGATATCCAAACAAATGTATCGTTTGTAGTAAAGTGGGTCATGACGCTGGCAAATACCGTTTTAGGGAATATACCAGTAATAATTGTCAGAAAATAGGCCATCTAACTCGTGTGTATAAGCTGGATAGAAGGCAACCGAACAACCGAGAGTTGAAAGAAAGATCACAGTATATAGAGGAGAATGTATCTTCTGACCTCGACTGCCTATATAAAATTGACAGTTCTCCTAAGGAATCAGGATATCAGTGGTTGTAACGGGCCCCTGTACTTGATTGTCTGAGGGGATCCTGAGAAGCTGATTTATGTATTAATTATATATTTGATAGCAATGAAGATTTACCTTTAGACTTAAAAAAGACATTGGCAGTAACTAGGTGGGCGGGGTGGCCGAATGGGCTAAAGCGTGTGCACTGCACCGCCGTTGCCTGGCAACCTGATATAGGAATCAAAGATATAAAAACAGTCACGAGTTCGCGTCCCGGTGCCGGGGGAGTCTTTTAAATCCCCACCCACACTCCCTGGCCCAGGAAAATCCCTTATAGCCTTAACGGCGAGGAAGGGAAGGACCCAAAAAAAAAAAAAAAAAGGTCCGATTTTGATAAAAGTTATATCGTACACAAAAGTGGACTGACCAAAAGAAGTGGGCCCGGAGCTCCAATCTTTTACATCACATGGGGTAGAATTATTTGTGGAGAATATTCTGTTATGGGGTTACAGAGTGGTAGTTTCTGAACTTTTAAGGCAACAAGTTTTGGAGGAGTTACATGCTTCACATTTGGGATCGTGAAATTAAAATCATTAGCCCATTCATGCGTATGGTGGCCAAAAATGGACAAGGCTATCGAAAAAATTGTTCAAATATGCTGAGCCTGTAATATTACAAAAGATAATCCAGTGAATATGCCATTAGTACCTCTCCAATGGCCATCCAAGCCTTGGGAGAGGTTGCACATTGATTATTTAAGTCCGTTTATTGGGAAATATTTTTTAATTGTAATCGATAGCGATTCAAAATAGCTTGAAGTTTTCCAACTTTTTCTATGTCAACCTCTACCACAGTTAAAATTTTGCGTCAACTATTTGCAAGATTTGGTTTGCCAGAAGAATTGGTTTGTGACAAATTCTCGGCATTTGATTCTGAAATATTTAAACAATTTTTGTCTCACGATGGAGTGATATTGAAGCATGGACCACCCTATTCACCAAAAACCAATGGAGCAGCTGAAAATGTGGTGCGGACTGTTAAGAAAGCATTTAAGATTGCGCTTTGCTCTGAAAAGTGTTCTGATTTAAGCATCTTACTAAACCGTTTTCTGCTTGACTGTTGCAACTGCCCATATATTACTACGGGAATATCTCCAGCTTAAGTTTTGTTTGGAAGATCATTATGAATACGACTCGATATATTGAAACCTCCTTCAACCAAGATTAAAGAATAAAAAGAAAAACAAATAAAAACATATGGTGGAAGGTCCAACACAAATAACTGGTCTGAAGAGGGAGATAAGAGTATGGGTAATTAATCACAATCAGAAGGAAGATAAGTGGGTACAAGGTACAGTGGAAAAACATCTTGGTCCGGCTAAAATGAAAGTGATTGTACCATCAAAGAATACAAAATGGATTCATCATATGGACCAAGTAAGTTTGGCACCAAAGGAAGAAACATCGTTTAGCGACGAGGAGTCTCCAGAGAATGTAGCGGAGCCGCTGAAAAATAAATCAGACAGTGATCCTCAAATATCCACAGCTTTGCCTATGCTCTTGGAGAAGAGTTCTATTGCGACAGCTGTTCCCAGTGAAGAAACTCAAATGTGCCTACGGAGAACTACAAAACCTGTAAAAAGACTTATAGAGGAAATTTAAGTGTTTGTTTAGTTAAATTGTTGTTTTGTTGAGGGTGGAAAGAATGTAGTATATTAACAATATTCAGTTATTGACACTCCATTAATTATATTGAAATAGCTTCAATAAAAAAAAAATCATATCAATTAGTTTGAATGACGTTAAAATAATTGATACAATGTAGTCCTTATATTGACGCAGTTCGATATTGACCATGCAAGGACACCTTGAAGGAAAGTATTAAATGAAGGATTAAAAGGGATCCGTCATCACTAAAAATGAACGATTGGAGATATATTCATCTCTTGACTGAGTTCACCAGCGAAAATAGTTTTCAACCTTTTGGTAATTTGGGAATACTACCTCCAAATTGATCTTGGCCACCTGTCAACCATTTACAACACTCATGAACATGTATTGTAGTTAGAATTTGAGTTAGAATGTTATGTAGTCAGAAAATGATATCAAAAGGACATTAGTAGTTTTTTACACGTAAGAAGAGTGGCCACTCCACTGAATAATTTAAGATTCTATATGTAGCAGAATGGAAAGCATGAATCATATATAAACTCCTATTGAATAACAAACTAAAACCCATTTTAATTAGAGTTTGAGTATGGTGTATTGTAGATCAGGGGTGCAGAATATCCATTTTACATTTAAATATGGCACTTTAGGAGACAGGATGAGTTTAAATTTTATTGATTTTGAAAAGTACAAAATACAAAGTAGAAGCGAATAGAGCTCACCTACAGCAGAGCTCATCCAATAAAATTTAACAAAAATCCAAAATATGAAAATTATAAAAAGTTGAAAATGATATTAGAATAATTATAACATACTTAAACTGAAGTAAGATTGAAGGCCTTCATTTAAACTTTCAAAGTATATGCTAATAAATTAAATGTATTCATTAGTTTCAATGAAAATACTACATAATTAACTAAATAAATTGTGCATACCCTTTTTCTCTGGTGACTGAGCTTGCACTAAAGCTTGCTCCTGGTCAAGGCGGAGCTTTTTTGAGACTCTAGCACTTGCTCTAAGTTGTATACCACTAGATAACACCTTCTCTGGAGGGCTTTCTTCAACTTTGGAACTGCTAAGTTCATTACAATTTTGTGAGTCCATTTCTTTAAGCTACCAGTTTTTGACTTACATTGATCTGAATAAACGCACATCTCAAAAATACAAATGATCAATTATAAATTCAATCTAAAATCATTATGAAGGATTTAATTCATAGATTCTTAAGAATTCAAAATGGCAAACTACCATTGCTTCATTTGTATTATAAGAAACTTCACTCACTAAAATAATAATTACAGTCTAATGCAAACAAAGATCGACATTATCGGATTAAGCTAATAAGAAAACTTAAACAAGCGATTATAGGATTTTTCAGGGCAATTTTCGATTATCAAGACTAGCGCTCATTAGTGGTACCCTCCGGCAAAGCATTTTTGATTCACTTCCAGTAAACAACAACTGCAGAGAAGCTTAAATTATGTACTTAAAATCATATCCTCTTTGAAAACTAATAATTATTTTAAATTTGTTGAAACAAGGCGGGAGAAATGAGAATGTAACGAAGTATTATCCAGAGTTAAATGGGGCCATCAACGCTCTACACAACTGAACACCATCCCCTAAAATAAATTAATTTGTAATCATTATTCAACAGAGAATCGTTATAGTCTAGCTTAAGTGGTCACTGTCTTAAAACCTCGTTTTTCTAGGCAGCTCTTTGGCATTGTAATTTTGATTCCAAGGCAATAAATGTTTATTTGAGATTCGTACGAAACTGAAGGCTCATGTCAATCAAGTTTGCACTTTTATCAGTTGTAACCTCATTGCTACCTCGTGATTAAGGTTAATAATATTTAGTTAGATAAGGAGAGATTTAGAATTGGGAGTAATTTTGATTTCGAAAAAAATCGCATGGCATCAGCTTCAAGTACATCCGCTAAATCACTATTTGCTGAATCTAAATTTCGTCTGGCAGATAGGGTTCAAATTAATATAAATAATGTTGGTTCATTGGCTAGACAAATACAAAGAGGGTCCAAAACTTCAGAGGTAAAATATATTATTTCATATTATATAAAGTATTAATATTTATTGATTGTTAAAAAATATTTTCAGATAATGATGAAATCTGCAAGGGATTTTGCAACACAAGAGCAGACTCTAGCTAGTATTGAATCAGTAAGTTCATTTCTTAGTGTGTATTACTTATTGGATTACTCAGTATCAATTATTTTGAAATCAAGACCATGTAAAAATATCAAAAAAGTTCATATAGTTAATTGTATTATGAATAGTAACCATTACTTTTTTATTTGTTATATTGACATATACTCGTATAGAATTTTGAGATTCTACTCTTAGTACCATTTTAAAAAATTCTGTCTTCTATTAGTCATAGCATATCATTCATGTACAGCTTCATCTTTTGAATCTGCCCTCTCTTCAATAATGTAAACATTATGAGAGATTCATAAAATCATTTCGATGTGAATTCTTATAAATTCTAATTTGTTGACGTTCTATATTCTCTTAATCTATGTATTGTATCTAATCAACTTACTCATAATTCATAATACTAAGATAAGGAAAGATATATCAGATCATCCAGAAATACTAGGATATGATATCATCTCTGATTTTGATATGCTTTGACATTTAAAATTAAATAAAAGAAATTTGTTTAAACAAAAATATAGAGACAGTAACATCGAAAATGTATTATTACATCATAATAAGCACTGACTTAAAGATGAAATGACAAAATCATATTCATCAGTCTTCCTGAGCCTTGTAGAGCTCAAGTAGGCTCTCTTCCGTTCTTAATGAAACTTAGAGGAAGTTCAACATTTAAAGCTAGCTAGCAGCAACATCCATGTTCATTGCATTTGAAAAATGGTTCCATCACCATGTTTTACTTTTTATTCTAATATCAAATTCTTCTGTTCCATGATTTTACTCATGATCAGTAAAGGTTGAATAATATCCAGTTGGTCTTTTCTTAACAAGAATATGTTTTTTGCTGCCTGAATCTGTTCATGTGTTGTTTGAAGCAACTGTGACAATTGTTTTATCATTTATGACAATATTCAATCGACACATGAAGACTACCCCATCACCTTAAGTATAGTGAGTCTAAGATAAGTTTACCTGTAGGGGAAGTGAGCTCCACCTCACCCTAACAATCACCTCATACTGGGAAGATGTTTTTCGATGTTCGATTTTCTTCTAAATTCTGATTTTGTAAAAGAAATGGAATTTCAATTTGTAAAAAAAAAATTAGAAGTATGTAGAAATGAGTGAAGACAAAAAGTGGGAGATGGGTGGGAAAACGTATTGCAACAGGAAAACCTCTCTCCTCCTCAACCCACCGGCAAACTTATCTCAGACAGAATCTACCTCTAACAGCATTTTTCATTTCTGCAAGGGCCTTCAAAGAACATTTTTTTGATCCTATTATGATAAATAGTACCTTTTACCTTTAATTTTTAGAAATGACCTCTTTAGAAGAATGATTTACAACAGGCCATAATTGTCATAGAGATGTCGATTTTTCATACATTCTCATTTGTTTGTTTAAGAATTCGAAATAAGAAAATGTAAAATAAATCCAGATATAAAAAAAAGTTTCAATCAAGGTTGGACAGCAAGTGTGGATTCAAAGATCAGACAGTATTTTTCAGAATTCAGTAATTATCTCTGTTTAAAAAAGATGAACTAAAGGTTTTGTCAGTTGAAAGGAAGAAAGATTCCGGTATTGTTACTTACAGCTTCTTTGTTATTGTTACTTATTGAGCAGTTAAAACTTACTGAGCACAAATTTCCTTCAAGACCTGTCAGAAAGTAGGAACCATGCAGTGGACGGCTTGTTTGAGGATTCTCAAAGCTCGAGAGCTTCCTTGCAAGAGGGATCTCAAATTATTAATGAAGATTCCAATCCTGTACATCAAGACATGCTTGAAAATTTTCCTTCTCATAAATGCTCAATCTGCCACTTATCGTTTAAAAATAAACATAAGGTTAAAATCCATACAGCAGAGGCACCCAGTGGAAGCTAACCAGATTAAACTTATGTCTATATTGAGAATAAAAATGCAGGTGAACGTGATAAACAGCCAGCAAAAAGCCTGTTTGACCTAGAAGTAAAGAAGTGGGCAACTATATTTATATAATTTTGATAAAATTATATGTGATTTCCTTTTTTTTTTCTAAGAGAGGCAAATAAAGACCTTCCAAGTCCGAAACACCCAGCTATAATTTCTATCAGGTGTATAGGAAAAAAAAAAAACCAAGGGCAAGGAGGAAAGGTCAGCAATCCTCAGAGATCTTACCAAGGCTGCCAAAGAGAGGAGGTGAGAGCAATATGAGTACGATCTCGCCAGATATAAGAACTAAAATTTAATGGGTGGGGTGGCTAAGCGAGCTAATGCGTGTGTATGCAACCTTATAACCGAAGATACTATGATAAAATAATGACAAGTTCATGTACCACTGCTGGGGAGGTTTTTAACTCGGCCATTAATCTCCTGCCCTCATCCTATATTTGATAGCAATGAAGATTTGCCTTTAGATTTAAAAAAGACATTGGCAGTAACTAGGTGGGCGGGATGGCCGAATGGGCTAAAGCGTGTGCACTGCACCGCCGTTGCCTGGCAACCTGACATATGAATCAAAGATATAAAAACAGTCACGAGTTCGCGTCCCGGTGCCGGGGGAGTCTTTTAAATCCCCACCCACACTCCCTGGCCCAGAAAAAAACCCGTATAGCCTAAAAGGCGAGGACAAAAATAAAAGGCACTACAATTATAGGAATAAAGTGGTCCAAAGTTTAATGAACAAAATCAGTAAAAAGCAATGCCAGGTTAATAGGGTAAGCCCTATTTTTACTCTTTCAGAAGTATAGTATGGGTCATTAACACTCTTCCTTTTTAAATCCAAATCGTGCGCTCACATAACAATATCTGAGACAAAGCCAAATTTCAGTACGATGCCCATTATAGTTTTAATGATATGCAATATTCACAGCTTTTTTATTGTTCTTATAAGAACCCCACCTGGACCTGGTGACGTGTTTATGGATATATTTATTAATGCTTTATGCACAGCTTTCAAATCTATTGTTCCTAAACTAGAAATATTGGAAAAGGGTACATAGCTCTCCTCTAAATTATCAATTATTAAATTAAATGGATTTAATATGAGTTTTAATCTTCTTAATTTTGATATGGCGTTGTTTTGAACTGATTTTGTTCATTAAACTTTGGACCACTTTATTCCTACAATCGTAGTACTTGTTTTTTTTGTCCTCCCCCTTTTAGGCTATACGGGTTTTTCCGGGCCAGGGATGAGGGCCGGAGATATGTAAATAAATGCCTTAATTAAATTAGAACTTTGAAATTCCTCAAAAATCATTTTAAAATTTAAAGTTACCTTTGCATAATGAAAACTTGCCAATATGTATGTATTGGATATGATGGTCAGATAACAAAATGTTTACTATTGGTTATAATAAATTGTAACAAACAATATTTGACTTTTCTTTGAAGTTTATTATAACAAATTTTGACTAGTTCTTTTTTGTTAATAGATTTTCCTTATCTTTTATCTGTATTTAATTTTTGACAAGGCAAAACAACATTTTTACAAAACCACTCATAGTATAATAATTAGTAGTTAGTTTGGGTAATTTCACATTCTTTTATTATATCGATAATCTTTGATTTCAGAATTTGAAAAAAATGCAGCAATTGAATGATAAAATGAATCTAGATTACAATTTGATTGCTAAAAGTGGATTACTTATAGAAGAAGCTAAGGAACAAACAAGAGCAATGCAACGGTGATGTTTGTAGAGGGGTCAGTCAAATAGATCCCTATTCAAAGTTGACTTTATATAAGTGTTCATCGAAATTATGTATGAAGGATGAATTTATATATTGTAAAAGTGTAAATTGAAAGACCATTTATTTATATACTTTTCTAAAACGAGGCCATTTGTTGAGAAAAGTAGTAATTGGCATTTTCATAAATTGTGTAGTTCTCTATTCTTTATCATTCTACTGATCTAGAAGACCACCAGCTCAAAAGATCTGCACCGCCTGTGAAGAAAATTTAACTTTTTTGTACATATCTCTTTAAAGGTTGTAAAAATCTGCTTTTTTAAATTTTTTTATTTATTCTTTTTTTCCAGTAATAGGTTAATTTTAAATTATAGCAAAAGTAAATAATGTTCATAAAATTTATTTTAGTATCCATTATCTGTGTCACTATTTAATCAATTTCATTGAAAAATAAGTCCGGGATTATAATAGTTTCCTCAAGCTTATATGTTTATTGTCTTGCTTTTAAATGTAAATCTGACATAGTGTTGATATTTAGCTTTTTTGCTTAATATTTAAAAAATAATAGTATCTTTGATTTATATTTGCTTGTGAATAGTACTTACCTGATTTAATATAGTTCTCATTAAGACTATCTAACATTTAACATTCATTATTTAGTGTGAAGGAGAGTGGGGTAGATCCGTGGTAGGGCGCTGACTTCGAATACTAAAGTTCCCAGGTTCGAATCCGATTGATGGCAGGTACATTGTTTATTCTGTTTTGTCAGCCGTGGATCGACCCAGGGGTCGGGAAACCCTTCTGGGAGAGGGGAGAGAGCACACAGAGCCTCTATGAAGTGGGTACCTTTAATTAAGGGGAACAATTTGGCGATTGAACTTGACCTTTGTCGAATAATCTTCTAGCACAACCATTGACCAAAAAATAGCACTACCTTACAAAGGGCTGAACCCAAGACCCTTCATGGGTTGTAATGGTACAGGTATTTCTTTTTAGTGTGAAATTCCCAATTATCCTCAAATTTGTGTATTCCAAAAATCAAACTACAAAACTAAGATAAATCTAATAGCACACGTTACAAACAAACACAATTACTTATGGAACTTAGACAAACTAAACAATATTTTAATAAGATTATAAAAGACAGGCCAGGCTAAGGATGGTTATATGGCACAGTAAGGCCTGAAAATGGAAAGAATGGCTTTCAATTCTAAGCGAGAGGCTGAACTTCGGCAGTGGTTTCATTAGCTAGTTATTTATATTAGAAATTAGGAAATAATTATGAGAATTTGCATAATGAGATAGGAAAAATTTGCTCCAATCAGAGAAATAACTTATGCAGACCAATACAATAACAGTGAAGTTCTCAAGTACATTAAACACCACATCGGTCATAAACCTGCCACAAGGTTAGAAATTTTTCAAATATCATGATCTCATCAAACTATATCCAAAAAATTATCCACACAGTTCGAAAATATGAACTACTTAACCAAGGAGTTATCTGAAAATTTCCTTACATATATCTGTTTGTCCCAAACCATTCCTGGTTATAAAAGAAATCCGGTCACTGGACATCCTGACTTTATGTTATGTTTAAAAGTAATAAATTAAAGTACAAAAAAGAACTAAATATTATTTTCAATATAAATAATTTGTATATTTTCCAATACAATTCTTGAAATCAGGTAATACTTTACAATAACCATTATAACAAAATATGCTGATGAAAAAAACATTGTCAAGTTTTTACATTTTAAATTTAAATACAACACATTAAAATAATAAAAATAGGCATTGCTTATTTTTGTTTCTTAAAAACATATATTTAAAACTATATACATGTATAACAGTTCAATTTCAGGTATTTTGCACTTCTTCAGTCTCCATCTGCAAACAAACAATTAACAACATTTAGAAAGTAAATATTTAATAAATATAAAAGTACATAGTAAAATTAAAATCAAACTTTATTAGGGTAATCAGGTGGCTTTTCTAGAAGATACTCCGGAGCAACTGGTATATTAAGAATGTCTGGTAACATAAAAGGTTTTAGCCATGTAACCAATGGTGATCGGGTATGAACATAGCAACCTTCTCTATGGAAAAACAAAATACCATCAACTCTTGGAGAATTCCCAGGAAAGATAGGGTGGACCAACATTTTCTGAAATAAAGTTTGATAATCATTGACAAGACAAATGATTCTTGAAAAAAGTTTTTAAAAATATGGTGCAGTGCATGCATCACACAACTTTCACTTTGAGTAGAAATTAATTTCTGATTGAATAAGACTATCACTTTTCTCACTAGTACTTAATTTTTAATGTAAATCTCAACACTTTTTCTTTCTTTATTTGTTTAAATTTAAATTATAATTATTTTTCAAATTAACTGTAATATAGATAGGGAAACTTATTATCATTAGAAACTGCAATAAGGTTATGCAGTCATAATGGAGGCCACAATAATTTACTTACGTTCTGAAGTTATTACAATTTTTGTGGTTGTCAACAAAATTTTAAAGGTCCAACCTAGATTTTGTGCAGAAAATTTTAATTTCTCCATTTGTATTTAAGGTATTTTTAAGGTGCAAAAAACAAATATCAACTTTGTTTCTCCCTAAAAAATATTTACTCCCACATTGCAATGCCAGATGGTCCTAATAGTGCTTATCTTGTATCTATCTGCCAAATATAATATTTATTCAAAACTGGTCTGGTATCTAGAGTAAATATGTTTTTCAGAAGAAAAGAAGTTTATATTCGTTTTTCACACCTTAAATTACGAATTTTTATATTAATCGAAAAGTTGAAATTTTCTGCAAAAAGTTTTTGCCTAGATTGGATACATTTTGTCGACAACCACAAAAATTGTAGTAACATCAGAACCAGGCCACCAAACCATACGAAAATTATTAGGGATTTAGGACTCTATACGCTTCACGAAATGGTACAAAATCTACCTCAGTAAACTTAATTAGAACTAAATATATAAAATAAAAATGATTGAGAAGTTTTTCTTAATTTCTAGTTCAAAAAGGAATGGCATCTAAAAGTTATTGAAGTGGGTCAGAAGAGCAATAATTCACCTTTCAAGTTGTACTAACGTAAAATTCGGAAAAAATCCTGAGCAGTTATGAATGCTTTTTTAGTTTTTGTCCGGAAAATAAATCCTCTAAGAAATGAAGAATTGAATTTTGCAATTTCTGATTTCTATAAAAGTTTGCATTTAAGATTTTCAAAGGACACTAAAACTTATCTAACTTTCTTTTTCACAATTAAACTTTATTTGATCTACTTTACTTGAAGCGCTTTTTGGTTTTTGTAATTTATAGTTTGGATGGCTTTTTCCTTCCTTTTGTAGACAATATTTTCACATTTCTTTATCAAATTAAATCAATCAATCAATGCCCCAATTACAAATCTTACGAAACTATTCATAAGTCTTTTCAGTCTATGACGGAGCTCCACCGAGAGGCCATCGTACACCACACAGCTGTAGTCAAAGAGGGGAAAGATGAGAGAGGAAACTAGGAGTCGTACAAGTATTTTGGGGTAGGAGATGGCGGAAGCGATGGAATAGTTTGAGGGTAGAAATTGCACGACGAGAGATATGGCGATTCCAGGAGAGGGTTAGATCTATGAAAAAGCCTAAATTTTTAACAAAGGGGTAGAAGGTGATGGAGTGGTTATTTAGGTACTGGCACTGGGTGGGAGAAACTGGCCCGGCAGGTGGGCCTATAGTGGTCCTTTTTGCCAACCCCTGACAGCAACCTTTAAGGTTGCCGCCGCATACTTGCCAGAGTGGGAAGAGTGAGCCGAGGCCACTGAGAAATGAAAAGTAACCGACCCAGGCGGGAATCAGCACTCTGGGACCCATGCCCCAACGTGCTTGGCCATCCTGTCCTCTGGTTATTTAGGTAGAATGAAAGAAAGTTGGTGTGGGATCTAAGGAGCTTGGAACCAATGACAATGGCTTCAGTTTTAGCAGCATTTGGCCTTAACCTTAATTTACTAGAGAAATTAATTTTTTAATTTTCTAGTCATATCTTTTAGGTTCGTTTTTCATAAAATATTAGGCCAAAGGTCACCAAATGTACACAGTTTTTACATCCTGTATTATTAATTCAACGTTTCGTCTTCAGGAGCCATTTTCAAGATTCTGCAAACTAATTTTAATTCAGTTGTTATACTTCAAAATACATCCTTATAAAACACATATTAATTTAATAACAATCAGTTATATAAATAGTCCAAACCCTATTTTATAAAACATAAAATGTATCATCCACCTACCATGCACTGCTTCATTAAATTTCCTAAAATGTATCATTATAATATAATTCATCTTTTATTTCATTGAATGTCGTTTTTTCACTTCTAAAAGTTATAATAATTAATTAAAATAGAATGTTAAATTTTTTTGTTTATAAAAAAATATAATATTATTTGTTCTCAATTTATGTACCTCTTTCGTAGATGATATTAAAAATGTTCCTCCTCACTAACGCATTCATACAGGACTGGATTTATTTTAAAATGGAGTGGGGTGGAGGTATTAAGAATCAGCTGTTTTATCTGTTATATATCAGTATATTATATTTTAATTGTATCTATTGCGCTAGCATAAAAATTATTTCAATCATCTGCATCTGTTTGTTGATTTAATGATTGTTTGAGATTTTTAGTAATAAATATTGATTCAATTATTTTTCGTTTGTTAGTATTCTGTTCTCTATCTAAGACCGATGATGTACCGAAATCAAATTTATGTCCATTTTTTGTGGTATGCTGCGATAATCCTGTGGCTAATTTTGATTTTGTCGTTTTAGACCTGGAATTTTGTTAATGCTGTTGTATCCTAAATTCAAACCATTGTGAGGTTTGTCCGTAATATGCTTTATTTTCACAATCCTCGCATTATATTTTATAAATAATATTAGTTAACTTCTCCTTTGGAATAATATCCTTAGTTGTACTGTATAAATTATCTAATTTATTAATTGATTTTTTCCCATATTTTATTAGTTAAACCTCTAATATAAGTGACCGAAAAATATTTTTTGGGGTTGGGGTCTGCATTAACATTCTTATTTTTCTCATTCTGGAATTGTAGATCAGGATTTTCTTTATTATGCTTTTGTTTTTTAGTATTATCTACTTTAAAATCGTTTTTGATTAGATTTCTTATTTTATTTCTGGTCTTGTTTTGATTAGTTTTTATATTCGTATTGATGTTTGGACCCTTTAATTCTTTATTATTATCTTTGTGCCATAATTTATTTATCAGTCTTATAGGATACCAATTTTGGAAAAGAATTTCATATATTTGTATTTTTACTTCTTTAATATGTATTTCATCTGTAATTAGTTTGACTCTATCCATTAAATTTTTAGCTGTATTGATTTTCTGTTGTTTATTATGGTTATTATGCCAATTTAGTATCCTGTTGCTCGTTATAACTTTTTTACAGCAGGATGTTTATAGTATCCCTGTTTCATTTCTATTTCTATTCATGTCCAAGAATCTAATTTTATTGTTTTCTTCTACTTCGTTTGTGAATTTTAGTTTATCTGACAATGAATTTAATATGTTTAAAAAAATGTTTATTTCATTTTTGTCTATAATCATCAAAATACTTAATAAAAATCTTAGGGATTTTATTAAATTTCCTTCTAGCTTTATCCATCAGCCTATTTAGGTATATACCAATAAGATTAATCAATACGGCTCGATAAGATTTGTAATGGGTGCCCCGAGATATTCCCTTTGTCTCCCTCCACTACACTATGTTAAAGTAGCTCTGCTCCTCCATTCGAAGACAATATTATCTAGGTATGTTCCTCTATCAAATCATCAGCAATCATCATCCTTCTTACGCCTACAACCTTCTCCAATTCAAGTCCTCAGTCCATTCCCTTTCCACAAGATCTCGACCTTCCGACCTTTACATTCCTTCTGCCTCGTTCCAAAAATCCTTTATTGCTCGCTTTATTAATTTCTGGAATTCCTTTCCTATCAAAATTCGGTATTTTTCCTCCCTACATTTAAAACCCTCCTACTCCGATTTCTGTCCCCAAAACAGTCAGATGCCTAAAAGTGTATATTTATGTTTTATCATTGTACATAGTTTTAAGTGTCTTGGCATGGTTTAACTGTTGTATATAGATTTTTTTAAATTTTGTATATAGTATGTTTAACTGCTATTTTCTTTACTTATTCCTCTTTATTTTTACTTTTTATGTTTTTTTTTTATTTAGGCCAGATATAATATTTTAATTTTGTACTTCTTTGTTATTCTAAATGGACTTTGTTCCAGAATAAAATTATTTTCTATTCTATAGTTTTAACATTTTTTATGTAGTTTCAGCAGATTGTTTTGTATTTAGTTAGTTTACATAAGATATTTTATTTATTTATTAGTTCTCTTAGCTAGAAACAGTTTATTTTGTTCTGTTACATTTTGTTGTTAATAAGGGAAATTGTTCCAGAATGAAGTTATGTCTTTATCTATCAAAATATTTATAATATAAATTTGAAATAATGTAAGATTACAGTAAATAAATTATGATTTTACTTCTGCCAATTGAGAATACGGAAAGTGGTCCAATGTGACAAATTTATATTTATTGGTTGTACATTGATCTTTTATCTGTGGAATTTCCTCAGTAACTTTAGTAGCCATCCAGTAAAATCTCATTTCAGCCTGCAAAAATAATAATTTTATGAGAATTACAAATATGGTCCTACAATTTCAAATTACTCCTAACAGTTTCTTCAACATAAATAATTATTTCAAAAATAATAATGAAGGCATTTCCAAACTTGGATTTTGAATGTGTATTAATAATCATGCAAAAGTGGGTAGTGTAAATTTTATGAACAGTTTAAAAACAGTATAGTAACATAAAATTAACAGATCCCACTAATTATAAAAGAAGAAATCAATTGCAACAACAATATTTTTGTGAAGTGTTTATTGATAAAATCTTTAGTATATATGTAGTATAATATGACAGCCAGTGTGAAAACTGAGATGGTTTCTAGCGAGGACAAGATTAGTATTGTAGCCCCATAATTTCATTCGTTCCTCTCCAATAATAGCCAAATGTTTTATAATAGTATTTTAGATGACATAATTTTTTTTTTATTATAATTTATATGATATTCGTATATGGATATAATGACATGAAACACATGTTGAGAAACTAACCGTTGGTAACACTCTAATAATATGTCTATATTAGGTCATAACGGGGCCATCTTCTTTTCAGACGCCTCGGGGGTTATCAGGAATTGAATAAGAAGCAAGGTTAGAAACAAGAGGGTTGGGATAATGAAGTTTATAATGGAAGGATAGATATCTGCATTGGGCCAAATTTGAAACGTAAGGAACATTAAGGTCATTGCGGATGATTTTATTTGTAACAAAGTAAGGAGCAGTGAGGATTTTACAAAGGATTGGATACGAGAGGAATTTGAAGGTTTGGTGGAGCCCCATAGCTCAACTCCGTAAGTCCAAATAGGCCTTACTATAGTCATGTATATGAGTCTTTTGTAGTTAATTGGAAGATTAGAGCGTTTATCTAGTAAGTGTTGAAGTAGTGGGAAACGTCGAGTGGTTTCTTGTCATTTCAGTCTGGTATGAGGATTCCAAGTTAGACATTTGTCCAGATGTAGTCCTAGGTAAAGGATTTGTTCAACAGGAATAAGTGAGGTGTTGTTAAAAGATACTGAAGGACAGGAAGTCATTGGTTTACGATGAAGGGTAAAGGTAATTTGATGGGATTTATTGGAATTTATTTTAATTCTTCAGTTTTGACACCATTCTTCAAGGTTTGTGATGTGTGATTGAAGGGTTTGGGATGCAATTGATGGGTTGTTATCAACTGATAAGGTACATGGTGATGACAGTGTTGGGATGTCAGCTGTATAGATTTCGTAAAGGATAGGACCTAGGATACTACCTTGAGTAACGCCTGCAGACTGGGAAAAGCCGGATGTATAGACATTGTTGTGATTTACTTTAAAGTATCTATCAGTAAGGTAGGAACGGATAATGAGGAAGTATCTAGATGGTAGGAATTTTTGGAGTTTGTACAGCAGAGGTGACATAATTAAAGAATAAATCTAAAAGCATAAACAAATATTTTTCACTTAATCTAAAAATAAAATTTTTGGTTGAAATTAGCCACCCAGAGCACAAGAGCCCACTTATTCCCAACCTCCCTGAGTTTTAGCCATCGTTACAGCTGTGATTTATCTGGAACTATGATGGTATAAACAATCTTTTATTAAAAAGGGGTTTTGATTGGGAGGAAATTGGGTTTGAAAGATATCCGATATTACAATAGATTTAGGCATAAATTTGTTGAATTCCACTTGTCCTAGAAATAGGCAAATCTTTAGGTGGGTAATTTACACTAAATTCTGCTTGTAGTTTCAGTAAAGATTAATAAAAATTGTTTGTTTGTAATTGTTTCATTACAGGCAGCAACAATGTTTTATACGATAAAAAATAAAAATTGCCTAGGTATGAGACTAATTAATCTAAAATCCACTAATACATACTTCAAAACCAACTGTTTCAATGGACCACTGCAATATATCTAAGATATAAAATGTTGAATTAGATTGATCAAATATAGTGTCTAACATGGTCTTGCCTCTATTTGCTAGTTTTGAACCACCAGGTAACCATGAAGGAAAAGAAGAAAAAATGCTGGCACCATTCCTACCATAGGCTGATGTTCTGCCCTTAAAAAAAAAAAAAAAAATATATATATATAAAAAATATGTCAATGTGATCATTCTTTAAATCAAGCAATGTTCTAAATTCCATTTTAAAGAAAATACCAGATAAAATATACGTAGGAAAAATATTAATACTATTGGTGAATGGTGAATATTATACCAATGTTGTACAAATATTAAAAATAAAATGAAATTAGGCTATATGATAAGATGATTATTTATATTAGTAATACATTGTCATTGTCAAACAACTGGTATAATGGGGATACAGTATGGTTGAGCCAGTCTTCATATTAGCGAGACTATAAGAAATTGCCAATAGGTTAATTAGGAAGAAAGGGGTGTTGTGCCTTATGAAGGTATTTAACAGTATTGCTAAGGAATCGTGTTACATTGAGGCCTTCATTACTTTTTAACAGACGACAGTAACTTTTTTTATTCTATTTCTTTAAATAATTGTTGTTATATATGTAAAAATAGAGGAACAAATTTGTTTCCTCGTTATAAGTCAAAAATTAGCAGTTACTTTGCATACATACAACAGTTACATAGATAATTTTATATTTTCGGCATTGGTTGGGTACGCTTGTGAAATAAGTATATGTTTATTAATTTTACTTACCTATATATGTAATATATAGTAAGGAAAGTCAAAATATGTAATCATCAAAATTTTCAACGGCAATACATGTTTTGAGGTTCCCTGAGTCCAAATAACCAAGTCCCGCAAAGTGGTCTATGTATGTATATGAACAGTCTAGCTCAAAAACGAAAAGTCGTACGAAACTGAAATTTCATATTTATGGTTTGTACATGTTATAGCAATGTTTTTGTCAACATTGGCTAACCGGAAGTGGCACTTTATATAATCGAGTTTACACATTTTTACAATTTTCTCGAAAATGGCTCAAATTATTTTGATTAAATTCACTATATCAGTGTAAAATTAATCTGTTTTTTTATATAATTGGATCTTATCCTCATTGATGTTCTCTAAAATGGTTTAAATGGCTAATTTTCAAAATTCCTTTCTGTAAAGTACCTTTAATTTTTTTTTAGTGATATAAAAAATGGTTAAATATAATGAATGAAGAAAACTGATGAGTAACTAAACAAGAAATAAGGGTTGGACTATACGGAAACAAACGATAGTGCCTGACCTTTGCCAATCCTCTTCTTTTACAGATAGCCGATATTTCTCTGTTAGGGCTTACATATTGTTACTTCAACTTTAATATATCACTTATCCATATTTTTTTAAAAAGGTTTTCATACAAAATAATGTTGAGGATCAACTAAAAATAAAGTTATTTTTTTGACAAGATTCAAGATAAATGTTTCCAATAAAACTCAGATTTATTTTCCTCACATTAGTATTGTTTGATACTATACAGTCATAAAAGCAAATGGAAAGTTTTTGCTTTTAGATACTTAGAAAACCCTCAAAGAAAACTGAAAGTTGATTCTTACACAAATGTTTATGCCTTATTAGTTATAAGTGAATAAATTGTTCAATAATAATAATAATAATTTATTTATTCTGGAACGAGTCCCTTTAGAATAATACAGGAAGACAGAAATGAGAGCTAAGGAGCCTCAGAGATACACAAATAAAAATACAGAGTAATTGAACAGTCTTTTTTAAAAAAAATAAAATATATATATATATATATATACACATATACATATAAGTTGCTTTCCAATTTTGATCAGTTGATAATTAAAAAAATATATAAACAAAAATTGGAGTACAAATAATGAAGAACGAACTAATAATTTATGTACATATTTTCAGTAGTATCTATTTACGATTTTATGGGGACTGTATGGATAAGAAATGATTGAACAGGCGGGATTTAAAGGTAGTAAGGGTATTAGATTGACGGATATGGGAAGGGATGGAGTTCCATAGAGATGAGGATCGGATAATGAACAATTTGTCGAAAGCAGCGGTTCGGTGGGCCCTTATGTATAAATCAGAAGAGCAGGAACGAACAGAGGATTTGAATTGAAGGAGCTCGGAGATGTATGAGGGACGGTGGGATTGGATGACTTGAAAGAGGAAGGATGCCAGGAAATACGACGGTAGGAAGGATAAAGCCACTTTAACTCCGCATAACAATGGGAAACAGAGACGTCCCTTGGGATCCCGACGATGAATCGTAAAAAGCAATTTATCAAACGTTTTAGTTTCGCCTCGAGATCCCTAGAGAGGCCCCCATATACCGTACAGCAATAGTCAAAGTGGGGAAAGATTAAGAAAGTGACTAGGAGCCTATGGGTTTCAAAAGGAAATAGGTGACGGGAGTAATTAAGACGTTTTAGGATGGAAATGGTACGGTGGGAAATATTGGATATATGATTTTTCCAAGAAAGCGTTTGATCAATGGTTATTCCAAGATTTTTGATGGTGGGGTGAAATTTGATGGGATTATTGTGTAGGAACAGAGTTATAATATTAGGGACAGTTTTAAGGAGGTGATTGGAGCCTATTAAGATTGCCTTTGTCTCATCCGCATTCAACTTCAACTTGTTTGTTCTTGCCCAGTCACAAAATATAATACAGTAAAAGTGATTTTGGACTATTTTGGTGTTTTTTTAACATTTCAATGGCCAACTTCAAGCACTGTCACAACCGTCCTTGGTGTGAGGTCAGTTGTGACCTGTTCCTTTTTTATTAATATGCTTCTATGAGATAACCATAGTACTTAGAGAAAAAAATGTTAGTAGTTATACGTAGTCAAGTGTACAGTTTACTATAAAAAACACCTTTCTACTATCTGATTGGTACACTAACAAAATTTTAGTTTTAACTCTATGCACCATGAGTTTGTCCTTGGGATGTCAACTAATTAAGGTCATGGCAAATGAAGCTGTGTATGTAAAGAATATGCATGTGATGTAGAGGGAGAGAGAAAGGCATAGCGAGAAGAGTTTTTGATAAGCAGGGAAAGAGGGCTGCTAGTTGGCTGGGTTCATGTTTACTATATTGTTTGTTTGTTTACTTATATAGGCTTTTAACTATTTATATATTTTTCATGGAATTTAATTTCTCTTCGAATTGAAAAGCCTAAATGACAATATTAGGGGATTAGTTTAAATATTAAGCAAAGAAAATTATTTATAAATAAATATTTTAAAAAAGCTAAGCCTTTCTCTTCAGGTCATATTTGCCATTAGAGCAGTGTGCAATACTTTATAAAACATAGTAATAATTTTAAATCAAAAGTTACTTACTTTCGTTGCAACCACAAGAGCTCTTTTTCCTTCAGGACATATTTTACAGATCCAATTTTTATTTATATCTTCAGGGATAGCTATTAGCCATTCCGAAAGCATAAGGTAGCCTTTATACTCACTATAGTACACTTTCTATAAACAAAAAAAGAAATTTTAAGAAGTTGTGGTGAATGAAAGTTTTATTAATGATTTGTTATAACTAGAAATATTTTTATAAAACTAGGAAAACTTCCATTTATTTCTTAAAACACAAAGATGAAGCATTGGTGAAATTTAAGAACAGTGTAGAGAACGAGAGAACCAAGAAAATTCGTATTTTGAGGTCTCACAATGGAAATGAATTTGTCAACAAAGCTTTCGAAGAATTTTATAATGACAATGGCATTAAGCACCAGATCTTTGTATTACTGCCAACAGCTCCTGGCACCAAAAGGGAAAAAATCAAAGTTGTGACAAATCACTGTGATTTGACACAATGATTTACTCAGAGCTGTGACGGAAAATCTGTCATTCCATCACTAGTAGTAACTGGATACCATAATAAATAACCAAAATATACCTTATGTCTTTCCTTCTTGCCATCAACATCCATAGAAAAGTCATTATCACCATCAAAAAGTCCTCTTTGTAAGTTTAAATGGTCAAACCTTTTCCTAGCAAAAATAAATACATTCAGCAATAGCAGAGTTACCATGTAATTAACTAATGCACTCCAAAACACTTACTCTTTATGTTCTTTGAGCCATTGGTTTCTTCTTTTCTCTTGACTAGAAACTATACTTTTTAGTTTGTATTGGGAATATCGTGGATGAATCAATGAAACATCAGCTTCATCCAAAGTAATGTGTGAGGAAACAAAACCAGCAATTAACTCTTCCATTATAGTTGAAACAACAAAACAAAAATTATATATTTTTTTCAATTGACTTATAACATTTGATTAAAATAGACAACAATGTGCTAAAACTACAATGAAATAACATATATAAAACAACACATCTTAATAAATACTTTAAAAGCCTGTAATATTTGTTCACGGCACTACAGCTCAACCATTTATAAAAACTTCAAATAACATTTTTATACCGCAACACAGGATTTAATCATTTGAAAATTATGGCACTAATGACCTTCAGGTTTTAACAACGAATCAATTATTCGTTCATAGTGTGATATCTTGTTGTTTATGTTGTTATCAGTTCCTGAACGGTCTAATCAGCTTTAACAGCTCACAACTATTACAAAGTGCAACAATTGTAGAAAAGTGGATTGACCTGATGAGTGACGTTCTATGAAGAGTGTTTAGGGTAAGACTTATTCCAACAACTATAAATGAAACTAGAAAGTATATTTCAAATAATTGTGAAGAAATTAAATGTTAGCATTTCGTTTATAGCAGCGATATCTGTTGCAGAGTGAATTAATAACAGCGTCATGCTGACTGAAGAGAAGAAGAATTAAGTCTTTTTATTTATCAAAATTACATTATATCAATTGCAAAATAATATTTTTGGATTTAAAACCGAAAATCAGACGTGCTCCATGGTCTGTTGACCGTCAGAGGAATCTGTGTTTTATAAAAAAGTTATATTTCAATCTATTTATATACAACTAATTATTATCGGAGAAAGAAAGCATGGAATATAGGATTAAAAATTTGGAGAAATTATGCTACTTAACAAGTAGTATTTATAATAAAAAATGCCTCTCCCCAAAATCAGGCACTACAATACAGTGGTAAAGCCAGTGATAATGTACGGAACGGAGACAATGTTCTTTCCCAGTTTGGAGAAGCTGCTGAAAATAGAAAGAAGGATTCTTAGAAGAATCCATGGGCCCAAAATAACACCAGAAGGATATAGAGTGAAATCCAATTAGGAGATTTACAGTGAAACCTCTGATTCGGAAACGGAAATGAGGGTAAGAAGACTTAGGTTTTATGGACACATGCAAAGGATGACCGAGGAGAGATTAAACAAGAAGATTTTCAGTAGGGTTATGGGATACAAGTTTAACCATGGATATACTGTACAAATAAAACAGGAAATTCAGAGGCTTGGGATAACACGGGAATTATGTGAGGATAGGACAGAATACAAGAAATTCCTGAAAAGTGTGGTGCATGTGGTGGACAGTTAAGGAACTTCTGTCCAGGAGGAAGTGGACGGAGGAGAGGAAGAGAAAATTTAGCGATATCCTCAAGCAGAGATGGGCAGAAAAGAGAAAATTGAAAAAGAAACCAGTTTTATAGTCGCGTAGTCCTTCAGGGCTGTTTCGCGTCAAATAATACAACTAATTAATAAGAACAATTATGTTTACAATGTAAAAGTTATAGAAACTTTTTATTTACAAAAAGAGTGGTACCAAAATTCACTAATTTATTAATTTTTTAATTCTCTGGTGAGCATTATTCTATAGTAGAAAGCGGATTTGCCGTAATTTACCAATGCTATCCAATTGTTATCATTTATTGATCCCGACATAAAGTTTTAGTTTTTAACCATTTAATTCTAAATTAAGAGAGTATGGGAAAAGCAGGCAGTAAGTGATAGAGATCTTCCGTTACGTTTGTATTACACATGCTACAAATATTATTTGTTTGCTTGAAGTATTTATAATTTAAGTTCAAAACATCAGCTCTAATTTTAATTATCCATCTGATCACCTTCAATGAGCTTTTGTCATCAATATAATTTATTGAAGTTTTTATTTTTTTTTAAAACGCCTCTGCCGTTGGCTATTAGGCCATTCGGCTCCTGGCAGCCCAATACAATGCCGCCATGAATCCTTTGTTTAAATTTGTTCCGATCCCATCAGAAGTACTGCGGACATCTGACAGAGCGGGGCGAACTGAGAGGTGCAGGTCGTACATCTCGTCCTGTTGGCAAAGAGAGCACACAGGGCTTTCCATCACTTTAATCCTATGTGTTTGGGACCAATGCCGCATGTGCAGGAGAAGGGGAGGGGTTATTAACAATAACTATCACCAATATTGTAAATCTACCTGGCAACATTTTTTTTTAAACCTTCTTAATAACTTTTTCATCTGTTTATTAATGCCAGTATGTGTAGTGTTATAATTGATTCAGAAGTAAATTTTCGTTTTGTTTACATTGTGTTTCTTTTTCATCATAACCAAATTCTCAGAACTCTAACACTATGTAAATGCCTTTGCATTTAATTTATTGAAATTAAATGAGGATAAAAAGTGAAAGTTTTAGAACTCTGAACTTTACTTACATATTGATTATATATGTCTTTCTGAATTTGAGTTCTTAGTATATATAAATTAGATCTTCCTCCATAGGTTAACATCATCACAGTTAGATCGACTTAAGTTGAAATTCAATCCATGCAGTTCTATCAGATTAAGTAAGTCCCTAAACCATGAGATTTCTTTTTTAATTATCTGTAGAACTAATATTTTTGGATATCTATGTGGTGGAATATTCAAATTTTTTATGATGTAATCAAAATGGAGTTTTATTGTGAAGATAAATAACGGATCTATTTTAGTCTCAAAGTGAATAAAATGTGTTGGAGTGGACTTTGGTAATTTAAATAGTTTGTTAATTTAAATAACTTAGCCCACCCCAGATTTGTGCTCCATAGCAAATCACTGCCCTACTAAGGGAATAAAATACTTGTAACTTTTTGGATAGAGCTATGTCTTTTTTTTTCATAAACTGGCGCCAAATCAAATTCAAACCCACCTTGGCTTTCTCCAGATTTCTGCCAGGTGTTTGGACATTGAGAGAGTAAGCTTGAGAACTATTCCAAAGTAGTTGTACTGTTCAACTAAGTCTAACCTTTTGGAGCCCATGAACCATTTTTCTTTACGTGATGGCATACGTATTGCGAAAGACCGTTATTTTAGATTTTTCGAGATTTATTCTCAGATCTCATTTTTCACAGTATCCATCTAGGAAATTTATATTACTCTGTAATGTTGCTGGATGTGAAGATAGGAGAACAATATCATCCGCAAAAGCCAGGTACTTAATTTTACAATTTTCCTCAACACTAATACCACCATCTAAATTCTCTTCCAAACCATTTATATAAAATGAAAATAGCAAACAAACTTGTCTTACACCCAATTACATACTAAAGAGTTTAGTCAAACCATCCAAACTCCAAACGGAAGCATTAGTATCGCTAAGCAAACGTTTAATTGAATTAGATGAAAATCCTAGCTGATATAATTTATAAATTAGACTATAACGATCCACACTATCAAATGCTGTAGAAAAATCTACAAAAATGCATAAACTCATACCATTTTCTTTTGTAATTTTACTTTAAGTAGACTAGCTAATGTGAATATGTTATAGATTGTTGAATATTTTTTTCTAAAACCAGCCTGAGCTTCTTAAATTATATTGTTTTCATCAATCCATTCCAGACATCTAGCCAAAATCAAGTTCGTATATAACTTGGAAATTGAATTAATGAAGGAGATTCCCCTTTAATTAGAAGCCAAATTTGTATCCCATTTTTTATATTTGGAAAAACAATGGATGGAAAAGGACATACCCCATTTCAAACATTCTATTAAATGTAGCCAATAAAATATTTAAAAATCTGGTGCTTGCAACACACAACTTTCACTTACTCTTTGAACTTTGAATAAAAATTATTTTCTGGCCATGTTAGGCTATTATAAAATATTTCAAATTGCATTTTAAACTGAGCTAAAGCTAAAAAAACACAAATGCTATTAAAATAACAAAAGTCCTATTTATTATATCACCGGTTGATTATGGATTGTACGATTCGTTGATTATGGACTGTTCGATCCATTGATTATGGATTGTACGACTATAAGTCATTAAACTGTTATTTTCCATTGCAAAGTTTATTAAAACGGAATTAAGAGATTTGCAGTGTCTGTCATAGACAGGTCAAAAGTTGCCACACTAATTGTAAGTGGATTCTGTTGGAATATCGCAAAAAGAAAAACTATCAAACTAGCCACTAATTTAATTTTCTAAAAGGTTACATGATGATTTTTCGGAATAAACGGACGATAGATATCTAAATATTTAAATATATTGTGAGATCTAGAGTTATTAAACTACAGTAAATATATTTAGGGTTATAAACGTATCTATGAAATATTTTTGTATTTCACTTCTTTTTTCACACAAGTACAATGAAATGGTAGAGGAATATCACAAAGAGAAGATCTACTGAATTATTCACCAATTTAGTTTTCTAAAAAGTTATATGACAATATTTTGGAATTAACTTTAATACATAATTATTTATAGAGAAATACTTTATTAAAAGTAATGCTGCCCTACTAGATAGGGTTGCTTCGTAACAGCATACTTATCAATCCATATGGACATTAATTTTATATTATATTTTTCTTTTTTTTTCTCCTCCTTCATAACAATACTCTTACAAATTATCAACAATAAACCATATTAAACAATAGACATAGCATAATAAACACTTTCCCAAAATAAAAAAAAATTCTTTTTTTCTCTTTAAATTCGCCAGGAACGCAATATAACATCGCACCCATACGTAACAGCAATTCCTTGAATGTAGCCAAAAAGATAAGACGATTATGGACCAATTTAAAATTTAATAAATAATTACTAAACTACAGTAAATGTATTTCATATTATAAACACATGATTTATACATCCATGAAATGATTTTATATTTAATTTCTTCTTTCACACAAGTACACTGAAATAGTTTTTTAACAATGCCATTAACTTGCTTAGATGGATTTTAAATACATTTAAATTAAATAAATTAGCATTACCTTATTAACACATTCAAAATTCAAAATCCAAACAAAGGATCTAACCATTGCAGCAGAACGTATTAAAAAAAAAAAACTAGAGATCATATCTTATCTCCTAATTGTCCGATTTTATTTTTGTTTTTTAGGCTATTCCATAAACTTTTAGAAAACCACGGAAATTTTAAGGAAAAATTTGCCGTCACAACTAAGGCATAAACATATCTTAAATACGTGATATCAGTTTCATAGGACGTTTTGTTTTTGAGCTAGACTGCTAACATACAAACACACAGACCATTTTTCGGTACTTGGTCATTTCGACTCAGGGTACCTCAAAAAGTATAAATCCGTCGAATACTCAGATTCAAAAATTTTCTCGATCGCAATACTTACACTTATTATATATTACATATATACGTAAGTGAAAGTAAAAAGGAATTGGAAGCATACTTGTAACATTCTCTAGTTTGTCTTTGGCTTATCTTTTACCAGCATTTTCATCACCCAACGGTAAATTTTCATCAGTATATTTTTGAAAATCTGCTGGACTTAAAATGGAATGCAATTCATCACGGGAAGATAGGGTTCCTCTAAATTTCATCTTAATTTTAATAACAGATTTTTCCATACATGTTTGTACCTTTTTTAAAGCTTCATTCAAATCTTTTCTTCTCTTTCTGTCCAATAACGTTTGGTTATGAGCTATAGAACAATTAATTTCACCCAGTTCATCCATCTTTACAAAAATTCATTTTTCCCCTATGGCTAACAAATGAAACTAAAATTGGCCTGGGGGCCTGACCTCTCCCTAGTCTCCGGGAATATGAAAGATCCTTGACAGATAAGTTTGTCTCAGTTCTATTAAATAAAGTTTGTACTGTATCATAGACATCTTCAGGATCTTCTGTTTGAGGCTCAGGAACTTTATATATGATAGTATTATTTTTAATTAGTTCTCGTCTGAGATTGTTTATTTCTTTCTCCTGCATCTCTACTTTCTTTTCTAATAAGGCCTGTTTAACTTTACCAGCTTGAAGTTCCTCAATTATTTGGTTTATTGCTTGTTTTATTTGACCGAGATCGTTTCCAATGGATTCAGTGTTTCTTATGGGCCATTTTATCATAAATTATATTGTTGTTAATGTTTCATGTTAATGGGAGTTGCCCACCAGCTGGTGAGGTAGGTGGAGGGGAAGACACACCGGCTATGATATCTGATGTATTTTTGACAGATTACAGACACGTACGCCCCCACTATTACTTATCTACCTGCTGCTTGTACCAGTTGTCTGAAATAAGTAATCTAGATGAAAGTACTTTCACCTTATTTTTCCGCAGCCACTTCACAAATTATCACCAAATTGAAATATGGTGTTCTTTAATAGGTATGGTAACCACTGGTCAAAACTTTTTCCAAATTATTTCACTTTGAACTTATAAAATCGAAAACCATCACGGATCCGAATTGCACTGCTTCACGGCCAGAGGCAGACTTCCTCAGGCTGATTGTAAATTGTCAAGTTGATGATTGGGATTAGTAATAAATCGGTAGATAACAACTTTTATTTATAAAGTGGAATAACATATCTGAAAATGAAGGTGCTGCTTTATAAAAATATATACATTTTTTTTGGTATTGAGATATAGATCAACTAACCAAATACAAGGAATATATGAATCAGAGATACGCAAATTTTTACACCATGTAAGTTAATTATTGTTCTCTAATAAGTATGTAAAATAATGAAATAAAAATTAAGTTTTTTCTGAACTCCTTTAAGGCCCCTTTCACAATGGAGATGCAAGATGCAGGATAAATGTATCCTTAAATAGATCTTAAACACTGGACTGTGGAATAGAACGGGAGCTTTCACACCGAGGATGCCTCTTGCAGTCTAGATGCAAAGACGTATGTCATCTTGGGAACCAGCCAGCTGTTGATTTTTAGCGTACATCTTTGTTATGCTGGTTTTGCATCCTAGCCCCTTCCACCTCGGTCGCCCGAAGCAAAATATATTTGAGGAGCAATCAGCTTAAACCGCCAAAGTTCGGTATACTCTCTCCCTTCTTAATTTTCCCTATAAGCTCTTGTGATTGGTCAATCAATCAATCAAGGGAAATCGTTCCCGTGAGTAGAACAATTCAAATACCACGGCTTCACAATAACATAAATGAATGACCAACATAATAACTAGATTAAACATTGCTTTCTTCTCCCTGCCAAAGACATTGAAATCCCGAAAAATCTTACATAAATATTATGATAAAGCCAGTTACAATACACGGCTGTGAGACTTGGACACTGACCAGCGCCCTAGAAAAAAAGTATTGGAAGATTGAGTGAAAAATTCTCCGATCTGGGATCAGAATACTAACACATGGAAGGAGGAAGAAGAAATGCCAAAGAAAGGTGGGTTTCAGAAACTGTTCAGTCAATATCTCATGATATGAAGGCATGCAGCTTAAGATAGGTCCCCGCGCATACATATCCCCATGCAGCACGGGCGGATTTACGGGGGGAGGGCGCTTTCCGGCTGAAGCCTCCCCAAAATGGTAAAATATAACCATGTTTTATGGAAAAATATATTAAAAAATTATCTCTTAAAGTATTATTGTTCATGTAATTACATTTAAAGGGGCTTAAGGAATCACTTAAAACACCGTTTCATATAGATAGTTAGTTTCATTCTTTTTTCCAAAGTAATTATTGTCATTTTTATGAAAAAAAAAAAAAGCTTTCAGGCTGAAGCCCCCCCAAAATTAAATCCTGGATCCGCTAGTGCCATGCAGCTCATAGTAATCCATGGCAGCCTGTAGCTGCTATCTATTGCTGTAAGGCTCATAGCAATCTACAAAGTATGTAATTAGTTTCGGAAGGACATTGATTCAAGATTCTTGAGTCTGTTTCATAATTGAATGTGAATCTTTCCAAACCTCAAAAATAGAAGGCTAATATATAAATATTATTTATATTTTTCTTATTTATCTCTGTAATTGTGGACTAAGATAATAGTTAAATTAATTATTGCAATATATGAATTTTATTAACCAAACATATTTTATTAAAGAATTATATTTAAAAATAAAGACAAAAGCAAAGGAATTCATAATACAAAATTTATAACGGATTTAATAATAAAATGCGAATAGAAATTTGAAAACAAAAGATTTTTCTTTAGCGAAAAGTAATCCAGCCCCTTGTTCATTGATCAGCATGCTGGAACACTACAGTACTACCAGCGTTGCAGATGTACTCATCATTACTTTTTCCAGTGATGTATAAATTTGAACATTTTTCCTACTGCATAAACCACTAGTTAATTTATTATTTATTTGTCATCTAAAATACCCAGCTTAATTTTTTAAATATTTTATTCAAGTGTACCATTTGAAGAATGTTGCCCTGAAACTCTCTTCAAAGTTCCTAAAACCTATTTTTTTTATCTTCACTTTTCCTCGTTTATCTTCTATTTTTTCTGTCATCATACTTAACAGTTTTAGTACTAAGCATATTTGATTCATTACTTACTTTTCATTACAAAGCATTGTTCGGAAGGAAGAACTGGAATGAAATCCATAAGTGGAATAAAATCTGTAGTTGGAATTGCTTATACTGACTAGTGAATCCTGGATTTAAATTTTTTGGAGGGGGGAGGAGAAATGTTTATTGTTTATATATTTAGGTTTATTCGCGATTTATGGACAATTTTTTTTTTTTCACTGAATATTGTAGTTTATGTTGGATTTTATTTCTTTTTTTCCACTATAATAAATTGTAAATGTTTAAAAGGGGATTTTTTATTTTCCATTTTTTTGATCAACTGAATATTTCTAATTATTAATATTTTCTTGTGCATGCATTTTTTTTTCTTCTTTTACAGCTCTCATCACTATTTTTTGCCCCTTCTTTCCCACCATTTAATTTTGCTCGAAGTTTCCCCAATTTTTGAGGAGACCCACAGGGGAAAGATTTGTATTTTCATTTTGAAATACTCCTGGCCCCAACAGTAACATTTTACCATTTTAGGGGGGAGTAGGCTTCAGCTTTAAATTCCTCTCACCTGTAGATCCACCTTTTTGGCATTAATTTGGCGTCCCCTGTAAAACTTGAATTTTGGCATTAATTGAATTAATTTGTACACAATATTTTTCTATTATTGTTAATTTTTTTTCAGGAAGTTCTATGGAAATATATATATTTTTACCATAAATTCATATTATATTAAGTAGTTTAAACCATTTAAGTATTATATTTTATTTATTTGTGATGAATACATGAATTCTAATAGAAAATTATGGTTATTGTACATGATGATTTTTTTAAAGTTCTAATAAATATTATTTTCTTTTATTTTTACCATAAATTAATGTTAATATAACCATAAGTAACTTTAACCATAAACGCCTCTTTTTTATTTATTTGTGACGAATAAATGATTTCCAATAGAAAATTATGGTCATGATATATAGTATTTTTTTTTCACTATTATTTAAAAAATTCTTGAATTGTTTTTTGGTATATTTACCATAAATTAATATTATATTAAATAAATTTAAACCATAAAAGTCTTAATTATATTTATTAGTGAAAAATACATTCGTTTTTATTAGTTACCTTTAAGCATAATTTCATTAAACTAGGATTCTCATGGAGATTCAGCGGCAAATTTTGATTATGCATATCACAAACGTTTGTTAAAAATTGATATTTGTTAAGTTGCTTCTACAATGATGATATGTAAGTTGTTACTTTATTGTTGGTCAATTCTCTTTGTTTTGGAAAAAATAAATAATTAGGTGAAAACATTTAAAATTATACTTGTATATTTTATTACACATCTTTAGATATAAAATTTTTTCGAAAAGACATAAGTAGAAACCAATTTTTTTCTATTTGAATAAAGGAAATACCAATAAAATTTTAAATATATTTTTTAATATTTTGAGCTGAACATTTCAAACGTCATTCACTCATAAAAAAATACAAGCTTTCATTCAGGTCTTCAATGAAGGTACATAATCATTTCTATTTTATTTCCTTCCATTTATTATATTTAAAATAAAAATATAGAAAGAAATAACACCACATTAGAAGTGGTGAAAATTTAAATTATAATTATTGATTTAAAATGCAAAGAAACGAGGAATGGTCTGGGACTAAATTAACAGTGAAACATATGTTGCGTTTAGATATGCTTAATTTTGTAATTAACTTAAGCTATTACAATATGCATCTAAACAGAATAACATTAATAAAACTACAAATTACAATCATTGCTAAATACACCAAAAGACTCAGAAGAAGTTGAACTTCATAATAATTATGAAAATAACTCTTCATAATTTTTATAAACTCAACTTTTCATATACTTCATATTATTTGAAAAAAAAAAAATTAATTTTTGAACCAACATCAACAAGATGTGTAAGTATTTCATATGAACTTAAATTTGTGTTCACGATAATGTTTTAACTGCAAATAGCTCATTGGTTACGAAAATAAATTATTAGATGCAAATTTGTACAAAGACTTGACACATATACAATTGGGTCAGCTTATTTTTTTCACCAGAGAAGTTTTATTTAGTAATAATTTCTTAAACAAATAAATAATAAATAGAAAAAAGAATAATTATAAACATACAGAAAAAAATATTATGGATAACATAATTGTTGCACAGCTCTTGAATTCAAATAATTTCTATAAACTTATAATAACTTCAAATCTATGTTTAGTTTAATAAATTACTGGTAAAAAAAAGTTAATTAACACGGTGTTAGTATTTTTATTGTTTCAAGGCTAGTCATAAAACCCTTAAGCAACATTTTTAGAAAAATTAAAGGAAGAACCTGTTTCATAATTGTGTTAACAGGTTTAGATGTAAAAATGTTTATTGTAACCAATCTCAATTACACATTTGCCTTTACCACAGATTTATAAATTTTTTTTATGGGTTATATAATGAGTTTACAAACTGTTAAAATAGAAAATTAACAAAATAAATGAACTTATAAAACATCCTCAAGAGGATACATTCAACGACTCAAGTATTTAATATCTAAAGACCTATCAACAAAATGGCAACAATCTCTTTCATTGTTTTATATATATATATATTTTTTTATAAACGTTAAATGTATTAATAAAAATTTTTAATATTATACATAATAGTTTAAGTGATACAAAGAATGAGATGACTATTTCATAAATTATATAAAATAGTATTACAAATTTGGATCTAAATAAAATGGGGAAAATGTTAAACGATAGGCTATATACATTTTTTTTTTTTTTTTTTTTAAATAAAGGGCTGGTTTGAAAATTCAGAGAGGAGATGAAATAAGGAAAAATAAGAAGAATCGCCTAGACAATTTTCTCTTAATATAAAGTATATAATCGCTATCTTGCTGTATTAACAAAGCATTTCAGCGAGGAAGAACTCAAAATTGCCAAGGCAAGACCTCACTTACAGAAAAGAGAGTTAAGTGCAAGTGAAAGATGACATAGTTTAAAACGGAAATTGTAAAAAATTCTGTCAGTCTTTCCAACGACTTTATAGTATCAATCAATTATTATCTCTTTACTATAAGGTCCACCACTTCATTTTATTTAGTAATATAATTTTGGTAGCATAATTAATGTACATATGCATCAAGAATATACTTTTTAGTTGTAAATTCAAGATGTACTACATGCACTTAGTAATGTATACTATATCATATACTCATGTGACTATATAATTCGTGTGATGGTGGTGAGGATTGATATTTCTTTAACTTCCAGCCCATGGATACTGGGTTTCACCTATTAAAAAAAAAAAAAAAAAATTAAAAATATGAATATGAACAAAAAACAAATATAAAGAGGTAAGTTTTTATGCAATATTGATGCAATGAAAAATCTTATAAGTGGAAATACCGTTGACCATAGATGTTTTTAACTCTCATGGGTATGATAAACCATAAATTGTATTATTTTTTAACTGTTTAAGAACAAACTGCATTTTGGGTTTGAATTAATTTGAAATGAGTATTTTAAGATTAAGTCCCATCGTATTGGACTCTATATGTGCATACAATACAATATACATATCTGGACTAATATTAGAGAAATAAAATAAAATAATGAAAATAATGGTATACATGCACACAGCAAAGATATAACAAGAAACTTTTATAGAAAAAATTATTCAACAAATAATGAGTCGTATCCAAATTATAAATTAAGATATTCAAAGATTCAAATATAGATTTTGAAGTTTTAGTTTTTTTTATTACAGCTTTTAATCGAGTTTTGCACCAGGGACTGCTTTATAAACTCTGTAAATTTCTACAACCTACATACTTCCTCATCTGTTTCCTACCTTACTAATAGATACTTCAAAGTAAATCACAATAATGCCTATTCATCCCTATTTTCCCAGTCTGCTGCCATTCCTCAAGATAGTATTCTAGATACCATCCATTTCACAGTTTATTTATCACAACAGACATCACAACCCGTGTTATGTTATTATTGTATTATTTATAACACTGTCATCACCACATATGTCGATCACACATATGTACTATCTATTAATAATGACCCATCAATTGTGTCCCAAACTCTTCAATCACAGCTAAGATAGATACCTAGGACAGGAGCCCAGATAGACAAATGTTTAACTTGAAATTCTCATACTAGACTGAAACGACAAGAAACCGAATAATGTTTCAGACTACTTCAGAACTTACTTGACAAATGCTCTAAGCTTCCAATTAATTACAAAAGACTCATATACATGACCACAATTTGGACTGTCGGAATTGAGCTTTGGGGCCCCACTAAATACAAAATCTTTTGTAAAATCCTCAATACTTCTTATTTTGTCACTAATAAAATCATATATAACAATCTTAATGTTCCATAAGTTTGCAATTTGACCCAATCCCAATGCCTATCCTTTCATAATAAACTTCAGAACCATCCGAACCCTTTTGCATCAACCCTGCTTCCTCTTCAATTCCTGATAATCCTCTGGAGCGTCTAAAACAAAGATGGTCCCGTGATCACCTAATGTACATATATATTATTAGAATGCTACCAGTGGGTAGTTTCTCAACAAGTCTTTTCATGTCATCATATATATTACTTCAGTAGTAAATATCCTGAATTAAAAACCTGTCCTAGGAATCATTTTCGAAGTAAACAATTTCTGCGTTATGATAAATAATATAATTTGCTGAACTTTATTGAAACTTTTATATCCATTTAGCTATTTTTTAAATCAAATATAATTTGCATAAAAGAAAATTATAATTAATTTATTAACCTAGCAATGGATTTGATTATTATTTTTGAATTATTGTTTTCACAAATTAATTAAAAATTTAATATTAAATCATTAAATGTCATTAATACTTTCACATACCTATATATGAAATATTTAGTAAGGGACAGTATTGCGATCGTGAAAATTTTCAAATCTGAGTTTCCAACAGAAATACATGTTTTGAAGTCTCCTGAGTCCAAATAACTAAGTCCCAAAAAATGATCTGTGTGTGTTTGTTTGTATGAAAGTGAAATTGCATATTTAAAGTTTGTATATAACTGAGATATTACAGCAACTTTGTCGTCAAAATCGGCTAATCGGAAGTGGCACTTTATATAATCGATGTTACATATATTTGCAATTTTCTCGAAAACGGCTTTAATGATTTTGATCAAACTCGGTATATCAGTGTATTATTGAGCAGTTCTTAATATAATGTTGGTTTTCTTTTCATTAATATTCTCAAGTGCTAAAATGGCTAATTTTTGATATTAGCTTCCTCTAAAGTACCTTTAATTTTTTTATTTGAAATAATTGACCATTTCACATTAATCTTTGATATAAAAAATAGTTGAATATAAAATATGAAAGATTTTGACAATTAACTAAAGGAGAAATAAGAGATTGTAACGGATAATAGTAGTAATGGAGAAACCAAAGAAGTACCAGGGCACCCAAGCTCACCCGAAAGATTAGGGCATGCTTCTTTACATAACATGAGCTTAATATAATACGGACTCTGACAATATTATGTACATATACATATGCAGTTTTCCTAAATGTTTTCATTAGTATTATTTAATATTTAATTGTATAGATTATAGAGATATAAATATTAAAATTTGTATACATATAAGGGTACTTAAACAAATAAAAATATCCACAATGGAATATAACTAAATATAGCGTCTATAATGTTGACTTTCACTTTCCCTTGGTCTGAAAATACTTATTTCTGCTAAGAAGAGGGTGGTAACTGAAAGTCGTGTGATGCGTGAACAAGATTATTTTTTATTTGTGGGCAGTTGAAAACACTTTTATGCAAAGTAATGTCAACCACTTAGAAAAAAGCGCCTCAAAGCAAAAAAATTACACTGTAGTTGTAGATTTAAAATATTTCCATGACATTATCAATTTTATTTAAGAAACAAACTTAAATGTGAAATCTATAATTGATAAAAAGATTCTCAATCCTGATTTTTAATCTCAACTATCTGTGAGATTTACAAGTCCAAATGTAAAATATATGATATTGAATTTTGAAATCTGGATAATCAGAAAATTTAGATTTTTTAAACTTTTTTTTCTCTAAAATAAAAAACTTATTTATCACACAACATAAGAAAATTATCATGAATCTAGTGTTATAAAACATAAGCTGTAACTGAAGGAGATTTATCACATTTAAACAAAGCAAGACCTCACAAACGAACAAACATATTTTCAACAATTTGGTTCCAAAGCATTTATATTATTGTGATATTACCCTAAATGAAAGAAGACAGAAACATTTTTCCTACAGAAGGATACATTTTCGTTTCTTTACAGGTTCTGGTGGTTCTAGAGCTGCAAGGATTGCTTCATCAAACACATTCTTTAACCCTTTCTGAAAAACAAAAAATATAAAATATAAATATAGGTGTTGAAGTCAATAACATGTATAATTAGAGTATATTATCTGTACATGGGATATTTTATTATATCCTACATCAAAATTCATATTTAAATTATTGAATTATGAATAAAATACATAAATTATTTTGTTCAATGTACATATTATTTAATTACTTTAATGTATCAGAAAATACTATTTTTTTTTTCTTTTCATTCAACTAGTTTTCATTAATTTGGAATAAAATTATTATAATTTATAATTGTATTTTTTAAAAATTCCCATAGGGGCTAGCTGAAGTGCACAGCTAGTGGGGATTGACGATCCTCTGGGGTCCTGAGTTCAGTACACCACTCATTCACACTGACACGAGGTCACCTACATTACACACCTTATGGTCACCTCTTCTAGGAAGCCGCCATGTATGAGGGAGCATAATGCTCTAAGGAGACAGCCCCTTTACCTGACAAGGGGGCAGTGGGCTGATAGATAGCTCACTATTCTTAAATTATTTATAGTGGGCTGATAGATAACTCACTATTCTTAAATTATTTATAGTGAGCTGATAGATAACTCACTATTCTAAAATTATTTATAGTGGGCTGATAGATAACTCACTATTCTTAAATTATTTAAAGTGGGCTGATAGATAACTCGCTATTCTTAAATTATTCATATTACAAACAAAGCCTCACGCTGCATAAGCGGTAAAGAGGATTGGAGATAGTGATGATGATGATGATTATAGTAAAATGTTTGGCATCAAATATCAACACATGAAATTACAAGTTAGTTCTCTACTAAATTAACTTTAAACGTAGCAATCAGCAATCTTTTTCACACAGTCATTTATGAAGTCCAAGGCAATCCTTAATTTTAAGTGACATACAACCATCAAAATGAGGTAACTTTATATCTAGGGGACAATATTACTCCAAAACTAGAATAATTTTTTGAATGAGCACTAAGCAGAAACTAGTGGAGAGACTATAAAACTAATGAACTCGGATATTCAATAATCAGCTAGAATTTAAAAAAACAGAAGTGAAAAATTAAAAACCTGAACCTTAGATAAAAACAAACTAAATATTTATTTATGTCATCAATAATTTGTTTTAGGCCCCCTCTTCAATTTAATAATGGTCTCTTTGAGGCATGTCACAATGACATTAATCTATAACTGTCACTGATTTTCAAATTTAGAATTAGAAACTGTGATCAATATAGAAATAAAAAGAGAATAAACAAAATAAACTTTTCAGAGATCTGAAATACAAAAACATTATTCCTAGAATCAACCTAATAATACAAGCTAAAATTATAAGATGATCTTAATTTGAGGTTAGTCCAAGAAGTTCAAATAAATATTATATAACTAGTTCTGCCATAAATACTGTTACAAAAGTTGAACTTTTTACATCCTTGGGTATTATTTAAATAATCTTTACCTCTATCACATTATTTTCTTTACAAGTCAGGATAATAATTCCAATTAGTTGGGTATTTTACTTTCGCTTAGTTAACATGGAGTAGGGTGATAAAGAAAACCGAATAGCTGTGATAGCCTTACACAAAGTTGGAAAATGTAGATCAGAGATTTTCAACACTTTGAAATCTTTGGATATCAACCGTTTGTCCATGTACCGCACTATAAACAGATATAATGAGACCCTATCTATGTGTGATAGACCTCGACCGGGCCGTCTCAGCACTGTGAGAACGGCAAATGCAGTGAGAGCAGTGGCTGCTCAAATTAAAAGAAATCCCATTTGAAAACAACAAATCATATCTCGGAAAATGGGAATCTCTATCAGATCAATGTCTCGCATAGTAAAAAGTGACTTTAGAATGGGCGCATTTCGAAGAATGACAGCAGAAGAGTGGATAGATGTAAAGTGCTCCTTGGCTGTTACACCAATGGTCTTAATCGAAAATACTTTGTTTAGCAATGAGAAAATTTTTACAATTGAAGAAAAATTTAATCGCCAAAATGATCGATCGTGTGTACGCACACAGCTCTAAAGAAATCCAGGAAGTCATTGGAAGAGTGGAAAGAGGTCATCGCCCTTCCTCAGTGATGGTTTGGTGGAGAATTTGCTTTAATGGCAGCACAAAGCTCCATTTTTGTGAAAAGGAGTTAAAACGGCCGCTAAAAACCATTAGGACGATATTTTGGAACCTGTTGCCAAGCCTCTAAATGATACTCTGTTTGCTGGAAGTCATTGGGTTTTCCAGCAGGATTCTACTCCAGCTCACAAGGCTAGATCAACTCAGCAGTGGCTGCAAAAGAACATTCCATTGTTCTTCTCCGCCTCAGATTGGCCCTGACCCTGAGGAAGCCCTGATCTCAACCCACTAGATTATCGGCTATGGTCCGAACTGAAGAGGATGGCATACCACAGAGCATACCCAAACTTGGAAAGCCTCAAACAATCTCTGGTCCGAGCAGCTGAGTGCTTTCCTCAAGAAGTGCTGCATGCTGCTATTGATGACTGGTCACGAAGATTAAATGCCTGTGTCAAGGTAAAAGGGGAATATTTTGAGTAATTTCTATTTTGTTCTACTTTCTATAGATATACATATTATTTTATAATAAAGTTTTTTAAAAAAATAATTTTTCTGTTGAAATCTGTATATTATATACTTAGAAATTTCCTTGTAATAATATTTATGACAGGACTAGGTAGGTATATATACTAACCCCTATAAGACTATTAATGTTAATTTCTACATTAACATTCTCAGAAATCAGAAAGCTGTTTTAATCGAATTTAGTCTCACCAGTGACATGTCTGTATCACAACGCATCAGTAAAAGCTTTGTTAGTTTTCCCCCCTCAAATTCAATTACCAGGATGGAAAACCCTCCTTTAATAACTTAGTAGTTTGTCATTATGCGACTTTTAAATGTTTCTTAAATGCGAGATGGTGCTTGAGAGGTGGCTTTAGACAGAAATGTAGGCCAGCAAAACAGAAAAGAATTAGTGGGATATTGAATAACCTGATTGAATGTAAAATGATTTTTTTTTTAACTTTATATGAACTTTCCGGACAGACCTCAAATAAAACTAATCTTCATCAATATCTGGACTAATAATAAAATTAATATTATACTAAATAAATACATCTTAATTATCATTTTACTTTACAAAAATTTTTACCTGAGTTAAAGCCGAGCATTCGACATATTTGACAGCTTTAAGTTCTTTAGCCAACTTCTCACCCTGTTCAAAAGTGATGGGTTTTTGTTTATTTTTGGCGAGTTTTTCTATTGTTGCAGCATCATCTCTTAGATCTATTTGTGTTCCAACCAACAGAAAGGGTGTTTTTTGACAGTGGTGTGTTATTTCTGGTACCCACTATAGAAAATAAACAAATAAATTTTTTGAATTTAATTAGCAGTAGTAGTTTATTACAATAATAACAGGTGATAAGATGAGGTTGAGGTCGCGATGGCCAAGTCAGTTATAGCATAAAATTTAACTTTTTCATACTGTGGTTTTGTTGTACCTATAGAACAACCTTTCATAAAACAGAAGTGGAGAGGGAGGGGTAAATGGCAAAAAATAAATAAAATGTGATTGGATAGGGTAATCCCAAAAAATTATTCAAGGATAAACCAAATGGTCTATTAAAAAAGTATTTACAGGAATGTCAGATGATTTGGTTTGTTTGTTCCAAGAAACCTATGCTCCACAATGCTGATACAATGCTCCACACCAAACTACTTGACATTAACTAATCTAATAGTGCTTTAGGCTGGTCCTGATTCTTGTCTTTCTGGTTCTAAATTGTCATTATTATAAAATACTCTCTTCATCTAGTTCAACTAGTTCCCTCATGAAATATTTCTCAGGAATCTTCTTTTTCATCAACCTCATTTTCCATTTATAAGATGTCCTAAAAAACTTTATCCATCCTCCCTCCTTACATCATTTACAGACAGACGAACTGCAAATATTAATTTCCTTCTATCCTTATGGAAACCCACAAGCTCTAAACTGAAATTGATAGAATTAACCGCTGGGCTTCGAATATAAATTGTGCCCTTATCCTAAAACTGACAAGAGGGAGTTACAGACATGGGGTCAACAATTTCAATGAAACTTGAAAAAAAAAAAAAAAAGGTGATATTAGAATAAATACTAGTGATAAATATTAGACCCATATCTGAGGGTTCTTGCCAAGCCCCATACCCCATAGGAGCCGTTTAAAATTTTTTTATGTTACTGTTTTCTGACTTTGCTCTGTATGGATTTTTAGGTTATCATAAATCAACTGATTTGTTTTTTGTGTAAGATAAGAAAAAAATATTGCTAATTCTATCGAACAAATTCTAATGTATTGGGTTGGAAAATAAGCCCTTTCGGTTTTTCTGTTTATTTTTAGACAACAAAATATGCCAATAATGAATGATATTTTCTTCCCTATTTACAGTGCAATAACAAACACAATACTGAGCTAATTTGCAACATTTATGGAGATCATGCTTTAACCGAACGCAGCTGTCAAAATTGGTTTGCCAAATTTCATTCAGGAAATTTTGATATCAATGATGCTCAACGGTCTGGTCGCCCACTTGAAATTGAAACGAGCAATATTATAGCCATTGTTGATCAAAATCCCACCTAATCACTGCGAGAGATTGCTGTAGCCCTAAATGTGTCATACACAGCGTATAAAACCATTTTATACACGCTCGGCTATGTTTCTAGGCTTAATGTTTGGGTCCCTCACATGATTTTTTTTTGAAAATCACAAAAAAAAGTTACGACCTTAGTTATCTACAAAAAATTTAGCAGCAATTTAGGGCCACCTAAATGACACAAAATGACATCAACAGGACCTTCGTAAACAAACTAAAAATGGAGATAAGAAATAAAAACCTATAAGGAGTTTTTATTTATTTATTCTTTATGTAGGCATTAAATATAAAAAAAAAAAATCATTCATATGGTGGCTTTGAAGAGCAATAATTCAGCTTTCCAAAGGATATAATAACATTGAATTTGAAGAACATCCTGAAGAGTTACGAGTGATTAGAAGGGTGTTGTGTTCCACCAAGACAACTGGTGGATCACATAAGACAGGTTATTATATAAAGACAATTGCATATGACCAAACATAGCATGACGAAAAATAGCATAAAAATTTCCAAAAAGTTGAAAACCTGTATCTCAAAAACTATTTAACTTACTGAATCTTTTCTGGTCTAAAATTGTAGCATATTTAATCTAGTGTAAAAAAGTATAGAAATGGTTCTTGTTGAAAATGTTTTTGGTATTTTTAAGAGTGAACCGGTGACCCCACATCCGTAACCTCCCCTTGTTGTAAGGTACTATGAAATCCTGACAGAACCATAGCACCTAGGCGATTGATTTGGAACTGTCAGCTAAATAATTAAATAATTAACATTAAATTTAAAGACCATAGAAAAATATTAAGATTTATCAACTATTAAAATCTGTTCTATACGAACAACATTGAACTAAACACTTAAAACTTATAAAACTTAAAACCTAATACTGTTTACAATGATATTTATCAATCACTAAATTAATTAAGCTTGAAATAACTAATAATAATTAACACTAATTTACTAACAATAATTACAATACAATGAATTTCAGTTATTTTCTTTTTTTATTAGGAAGCCTACGATTATAAATTTTTTCATAGTTTGTAGATGAGAAAATTGTTCCGAAATGTGAGAGATAATAAATGTAATTAAAAGGATTTGAAGGAAATTGGAAGTATTATTGCCTAAATTATGAAAAAAATGAATTTTACTATAGAACTGGGTATTAATCCTTAAATTATTAACAATAAATATAATAATAAAAGGCATAGCAAACACGAAGGTTTGATACCAACAACATTAATCTCAGTCTACACACCTCCCTCCACTGGTTACTGTTCAAACCTAGTCCCCACCAGATTAGCCTGAACGCAATCTTCCCACCTTTTCTTCAGTCTATCCCTCGGAAGTTTACCAGTTGGCACAGCGAATATTAATCATTTAGAGATTCTTTTGTTACTAAGCCCAACAATTTTACACGGCTATTTTATCAGCCTTTATATGCTGACATATCAACGACATTTAATGGCATGTAAATGATATTTATTTGGGACTATCAAACGATTTAGTCGATTAAATTTTAACAACATAACCATTCCATGATTTTACTGAGAAATACTTAAAATGAAATTAATCCAGTTATTTCCTTTAAATTAAATTATGAGATAGGTAGAAAATAACTTTACCAAAAATAAAGCAATAAAAATGATAATGGGTTAACTCCACATGATGTTTTACAAACAGTAATGGAAAACTTAAGTATTAAGATGATGGAAAATAATTATTCAAGCAGTCAACAGATTAAGTAGCATTTCTACAAGAAAAATATAACGTTACCTTTTCTTTAACATTCTCAAATGATGAAGGCGATACAACAGAAAAACATACTAAGAAAACATCTGTTTGTGGATAACTTAATGGCCTTAATCTATCGTAATCTTCTTGACCTAAAACCAAAAAAACAAGCTGTTGTAGTATATAAATAAAATACACATCAACATGAAACAAACCAAACAAAGATATTAGGCTATTACACCACCATTAAAAATCACAATATTTAACCATGAAAGGTTCACAGGAATAATACACAAGAAAAAATGCCAAAAATGCATGATCTAAACCAGGAGACAGTCCATTGTTAAGTGATGTGCACCAATAAAACATATGGTTGTGATGCTAACTAAAGTTAGGCAAAAATTAAATTGACGACTAAATTTATATTCACAAAAAATAATTAATTTTTTATTCATTAGTCACAACTAATATAAAACAGACAAATGACTAAAAATTTCAAATAAGACATTCAAAAATAAGTAAAAATTATATTGAAGCAGGCGATTGGCTGATGGTATTTTTAAGACAGGTTTACATGGTAAGATATGCCATACCTCTTGTCTGACATAAAAATGTACCACATAACATACGTTTCATCATGTTTTTACACAGTAGGTTCTTATTACTCAGTAAAGTCTCATGAATTTGTTGAAATGATATGAGGTCAAAATATCAGCAAATTGTTGTACTAAATGAAGGAAGGAGATGGTTGGGGGTGGCGGTCATAAATATGCGAAACAGTGGTAAAACTATTTTATTAAAATCCAACATTTCAACCCGACTTTGCAGGTCTTCAGGGAGGTGTGTTCATCGAGAAGTTTCACTTAAAAACCCCCGAACCATCTCCTTCCTTTATAATGCAATGGTCAACTATTAAATATTCAACTTGCACTAAATGTATTTAATCTCTCTGATTCTGGGTATGTTACTACTTTTAATGAAATGTAAACTGGATAAATTGTTAACTGGATGGTATTGGTATGAAATCTTGTAAATGTTTTTAAACAATTTGATCTCAAAAAAATAGAAAAGTATTCTCAATTTTTGTTGGTTTCATATCATACCACGTGTCAGTTCATGACCATATGTGAAAAATATAGATTATCAGAATTTGAAAAACCGTGAAATAAAACATTATTTAAAGAACAAAAATCCTATTACAGAACAACCCTATCTGTCTTAGGAGCTAAATATACTTTACTTAAAGCTGTATATTTTCTTTATCACAATGGTGTGTTCTTAGTAATGTTACTCTATGTAATAATTTGGTACTTTTGCCTACATGGTTCCTTGAAAGTTGTAAGTCAACATATTAAAAGCTCCACGTGTCTACGCATAAAAACATAGAAAGTATATTGATAATAAATTTTTTATATTCTTTTGAGTGTGAAAGGCACACTCAAGTTTTAATATTTATAAAAGAAAACTCCACTAAGGTTCACTGTTTTAAGTCAAATAAATTTTCAAATAACTAATGCTGAACTATCTTGCTGGTTAACGTTTATCAAGAAATAATAGACAATTGTACACCATTAACTATATATGGTTGAGATTAAAAGTTAATAGGACGGTATTTAGCAGAAAAGAACCTATCTAACAAATATGCAAAAATGAGTCAGAGGTAGTTTTGAATAGAAAAAGGGTCTAATATTTTTTATTGAAAAGTACCATCTCTTAGTTTATCTATCATTAATGAAAATTTAAGCACTAAAAAATTATTGAAAATAAGGCTATGTTTTATTTCTTCACCATATTTAATTCAATTTACATAGCATACATAGCCGGTAAGCCATCTTCAAGCCAAACATCAATTTTATATTCTGATGCAATTCTACACTCTATGATGGTGATATTGGTCCTATTTAATTTAATATTCTATGGATTATTATAATGCTAATAAGATTAAGTCAATTTTTTAATTTGTAATTATCGCTACCAGTACCACTGGATAGAATGAGGTTGCTTTTTTATTCAAATCCAGATATATCAAGGTAAGATCAACAAACATAAATTATTTAAAATTTTAAAACATCCTTACTTTATCTTATCATGCTTTTTGCATGTAGTCCAAAGTCAGATTAAATTTTAAGTGTAGTTGGGAGGTTACACATTGTATGTCTTTGTTATACTGCTCACTAATTAACCCAAAAAGCATGGTTGGATAAAATAAGGATGTTTTAAAATTTTAAATAATTTATGTTTGTTGATCTTACTATCTGAATTAGGGTTATAATTCATAGAATATTAAATTAAATAGGACCAATACCACCATCATTGAGTGTAGAACTGCATCACAATATAAAATTAATGGTGTTTATCATATAGATTTTTTTTTTTTTGAGAATTATCGCAGAGCTATATAAAGATATGACAGCATATGTAATGACAGAAAAGAGGGGTCAAATCTTTCGTGTCGAGTAGGGTGTTAGGCAGGGGATCCGTTATCTCCCTTGTTGTTTATTCTGGTGTTGGAGATGAGCTTTTGGTCTCTTGGATGGGAAAATGCAGGCATAAAGGTGAATGGTCGATTTTTAAGCAACTTACGTTTTGTAGATGACATTATACTTTTTGCCAACAATTCCCGACAATTACGAGAAATGCTAAAACACCTTCTAGGGGCCTGTGAAGAAATTGGTTTATACCCAAACCACAATAAGACGAAACTAATGACCAATAGTTCAAAGGAAGAAATAAAAGTGAACAACTTCACTCTGGAATACGTAGAGGAATATGTTTACTTGGGACAGTTAGTTTCCTTTTCAGACAGAGTTACAAAAGAAGTACAGAGAAGAATAGCGTTTGGTTGGAACAAGTTCTGGTCTCTGAAGTATATAACAAAAGGAAATATAAGTATCGACCTAAAAAGGCTAGTTTTCGATAGATGTATTATGCCAGTGGTGAGCCCAAGCCCAAGAGAGGAAGATCATGGTGTGGCAAAATAGCATCGAAAGAAGCATTGTGAAAGTAAATAAGATAGATAAAATCAGATGCAAGAAGATAAAAGAAGAAACAGGGCTCAAAGACAAACTCTCGCAAACAAGAAAAGGCAAATGAAAATGGGCTGGACATCTGCGATGCAACGACAATAGATGGTCAAAAATAGTCACCGAATGGACTCCATATGACCGGAAAAGGATGAGAGGCCGACAAATGAAGAGATGGAGAGATCCATTTAGACTTTTGGCAGGACCTCTCTGGTGGAGAGCAGCTAGGGACAGAGATGTGTGGAAAGAAAAATGGTTAAAGGTCAGAAATCCCGCTTCCCAGTAGGGCTAGTCACCCAGAGAAGTGTTAAAGACTATTACTCCTAAGGGAAGGCGTATGCAAGATAGTAAAAAGTTTTGTATAAATTATAATGTATAAAAAAAAAAATTGTTTTTTTTTTGCTTTTGAAATGGTAATATTAGTGCATAAATAAAGGCTATTTTCATTTCTTTTCATCTTATAGATGGCTCGAAGATGCCTTACTGGCCGAAACATAGCTATGTAAATTGAAATAAATATGGTGCAGAAATAAAACACAGCCTCATTTTATAATAATCAAAAAAAATTTCACCTAAAACAAGCACATATGGACTTAATTTGTGATCAATCTACGGAACTCAGCTTTGCACAAACTTTATAGATAGATACATACCCGCTGTATCAAATAGTCCTAAAGTGTATGGTTCACCACCAATCATAACAGTCACTGCATAATTATCAAAGACCTAGAACATAAAATTAACTTCGATAAAAATAAAATCACAAGATATGTAAAATACAATTTTATTAACTAAACATATACTATAAAAATATTACATAGGATGTCTACAAATGTCGATCGATGAGATTCCTTTCCTTATATAAAATTTTCTGATTTCTCTTCCCTCCATCAAAACAAAGAAGCGAAAAGAAAAAAAGGAGAAACGTAATAAAAATCTTTGGCCAACATATTTATGAATATCTATCAAAAAGACCAAATGTTAGAAAAAAAAAAGTGAATAATAATAGTCCGTGTTACATACTTTAAACATTTGGGAACGGCTTCATCTTATTGTTGCCTAAGAATTTTATATCTATGAAAAATCTTAGAAATGGTGTGTTATCTCCCATTAAATTAATTAGGTACAAAAACTCATTAATACCCAATTTCTTTCTACTTAAATTAGAAGATAATTTAATCACAAAATCGAGAAAAAAAAAAAAGGTGCTCCACCAAAATATTGGGCTTTTTGGCCTATATCACCGCATTATCTTGACGTATTGAAGATGAAGATCACGCCAAATGGCCTAATATTTTTGTAGGCCATCTTTATTCTCGATTTTGTTTTTTTCAAATTATCTTACGATTCACAAGAAAAGCAAATGAGTGTTCATGAAATTTTAGTACCTAATTAAATATACGAAGTTTGCCATTTTCCAGATTTGAAAATTCTCAATCCCCCAATTCTCAGAATTTCCATAAATAAAATAGTAGCAGGCTCCGATGGGATTACAATAATTTGATAAAATAGGGTTTATGTTATTTGAAATAATATTTCAGCCATTTTTACTTGTACATCTAACAGGGTGTGTATATATATATATATATATATATATAAAATAATGATCGTTTTTCAACCAAATACTTTATCATAATACTTTGATATAAAATACAATTAATACTCAAAAAAGTATAGTCCATTGTTATTTACCATCATTAGCCATCTACTAGCTAATTGCTCGATTCCCCGCTGATACCATTCCTTGGGATGGTTGTCTAAGAACTCTTGGACCGCAATTTCAACTTCTGTAAAATTATCAAATTTTTTCCCTTGAGGAAAATGGGCCATGGATCTAAATAAGTAGTAATCCGATGGTGGGAGATCTGGACTATATGGTGGATGAGGCAGGAGTTCGAACCAATTAAGTTCTTTCAACTTTTCTTTGGATCGACAGGATATGTGAGGACAAGTTTAGTTTGTAGTTAGTGATTAAATATTAAGAACGAGGCAGCTCCATCTGCCGGATTCTCTGGAACCAGCGGGTGAAGCTCCTTATTTCTCATACCAAACGAAGCGGTTTCTTCTTTTGTATGTGATAGGACGTGCATCTCAATAGAGGCACAAAGTGAAGCTGCCTCCTTCTTGTACCAAACCCCTCAATTCTTTTCTGGATCATATCATCTTAAGTTTCAAAATGGCTCTACACTTCCCCTCCATTAAGCTCCTTCCAGAAGTAGAGCCTTTTAATATTGTTGTTTTGCCAGATTTATCTTTTATCTTTTTCTATATATTTTACATTCTATACTCTCTGTATACTTTGATCTAACACACAATTTATACAAAGTTAGCAGCAAAAGGAATATAATACTTTACCAATTTTATAAACATATTTTATTATAAAAAACTAACAAATCTACATTTATAAAAGAAAATCATAAACATTAAATCAATAAATCAAGAGGAATACATGAACTAATAATGTGAACTGAGCTAAACGGTTGAACATACGAAACACTCATTAGTTCAAGATAAATGAATAATGCAACAAATATCTCTTCTCAAATTCTCAGAGCATAATAAAATTAATTATTAGATTAGCTGAATGATTTAAAAATATATTAAAGTTTAAACTTTTATTTTTCAAACATTATTTATAAGCAAAACAATTTTTTTTACTTCTAAAAACAAAGCTATAACTCACTATTATTATTATTTAAAAAAAAATGACTGAGATCAAATACAATATGTTACCAGTTAAGAAGCTATTCTCATAGTTTATTGATAATTAAAATCTTATTTCTAACTGTTTAAATTAAAAATGAGTTTAAATTCTTACCGTTGGTACATACTCTGATGGAAATTTGTTTGTGGTATATGAAATGAGAAGGCATGTTTTACCCACGGCACCATCTCCCACCACCACACACTTGATGGTCTGCATCCTAAAAAATGGAATAAACATAACTTATAAATGCCAGATATAATTGATATAAAAAAATATATATATTAATAATGACAGCAATTAACTCATGTGGTTTGATTATTCTAATAAAACAGAAATATTATTATGATAGTTAAATAAAGACTACTAATATACAAGTTCGGTAACCATAAAGATATTTTATATGACAAGCTTCTTCAATTTTAGATTTATTGTTTTTGATTTCATAAAAAAATATTTTATTTTTATATTACAGCCATCATACTTCTCAACATTTAATTTCTTTTGATTATTCAGAATTATTTTTTTTTTCAAATATATATTTCTTAAGTTCATATTACCTCTCCATTTTTTATATGAAATTACATTAATGTATTGGGTTGGCAAATAAATCCTTTTTCAGAGTGAAATAAAACTCAATGTATTATAGACATAAAATTTATTTTGGCCAGGCTATCAATTGCTTCCTGCAGTGCCCGATGCCACGCCCTGATGAAGAACTACAAAGTGGGTCGAAATGTCGGTGTAACAATTAAAATACTATTTTAAAAATTTGGTACTGAGCTTCCAATGCTAAAGGTCCCAGGTTCGAACCCCGGCTCATGGCAGAATATTTATTTATCTGTTTCATTGGCTGTGGGGCGACCCTGGGTTGGGAGACCCTAATGAGGCACATCCAGCCTCTATAAAGTGAATACTCTTAATTAAATAATTAATTAAGGAGGAAAACCTGGCGGTGGTACAGCTTTTTTTTTTTTAAATGTAATATTTATTTAATCGCACTGCCCTCCCCCCTTCCCCCCTACCAACACCTTATAAAATTTATTTTAATCTATAATATATTGACTATTATTTAATATGACTTTTCCCCTTTTTTCTACTAACTGCATAATGCCATGTTCACAAAATGTCTGGAGTTTATTGTTAAAAAACTGATCCAAGTGGTTTTTGATGTCGTCTTCTTATTGGAATTTCTTTCCTTTCATGGAGTTCTGTAGAGACCGGAATAAGTGGTAGTCACTTGGAGCTAGGTGTGGTGAATAGGGAGGGTAGAGCAAAAGGTCCCATCAAGGGCTCAATAATTTATTGCGAGTGGCCAATGAGGTGTGGGACCTAGCGTTATCTTGGTGGAACACAACACCCTTCCGATCATTCATAACTCTTCAGGATGTTCTCCAAATTCAATGTTACTATATCCATTGGAAAGCTGAATTATTGCTCTTTAAAGATGTATGAATGACGTTTTTGATTAAATGGCTACATAAGCAATAAATAAACAAAAACCTCCTACAGGTTTTTATTTTTTATCTCTATTTGTAGTTTGTTCATATATATAATTACCCACAAAACAAAAAAAAAAAAAATCATGAAAATCGGTTAGAAATTTAAACAATTTGTACCGACCGAAGGAGTAAAGTGTATTTAAATATTTTTTTAAGGAGAAACAGAGTTGAGATTTGTATTTTGCAGCTCGAAGGACCCTGAAATAGGAATTTCCATAGCAATCATAAATTTTTTTTTATTATTATTATTTTTTTTTGTATACAAATTGGAATCGAGATTCCCCTCTTGGATTTCTTTTTGAAAATCACAAAAAGTGTGATAACTTCAATATCCTTCTATCTATTCATATGAAACTTATAAACTATACAAAATGACACAAACTGTACTCCCCTAAATAATTTAGAAGTGAACTTATAAAATAAAAACCTGTTAAAGTTTTTATTTATTTATTTTTTATGGACGTGTTAAATCAAAAAGTTATTTATAAGGTTTTGAAGAGCAATAATTCAATTTTTCAATGGTTGTAGAAACATTGAATTAGGATAAAATCCTGAGAAGTTATGAATCTTTTAGTAAATGTCAGGCAAAAACATCATAATAAAAAGTGAATCTTATATATTATTTCCAAAAGATTTTTTTTATAGCAACGCCATAACTTAGTCAATTCTTCATCAAAATCCAATGATTGAGGACTCATCTTAAAGATTTTTGCCTTCAGGTGGGAAAAATAATCACAACCCCCGAAATTTAAGGAAAAAAGTTATGAAGGAAAAGAAATTTTATTTACGAGTAACTCAAAAATTATATATTTTTTCTTGATTGTACCCATGATACTTAGAAAGACTACTAAATTACTTACAAAACAAAAAAAAAAAAAATCTTGTGAAAATCGGACAATTATTAACTCAAGATAATAACCTCAATATTGAGATAAGGATTATGGCAGCCAACAAACTCTACTTTGGGTTAAGTAAACAGCTAAGCAGGCAGATACATTCCATACTGACCAAGCTCTAAACTTTATAAGACATGGGTGTATCCCATACTTCTTTATGAATTGGACTTCTGGACAATGGCTACTGAAAAAAAACTCCTTACTTTTGAAAGAAAAGTTGCCCCCTGTATTTTTGGAGGAATGAAAGTACGAGAGGAGTAGCAAACTTGGAGCTGTACAATGATTTCGGTGGAGCACATGTGAAAGCAATGAAGTTGAAGCGCTTAAGATATGCAGGTAACTTAAGACATGGTAATAGGAGATATGCCTAAAATATTGCTGATGCAGCTAATCTTTAAAACAAGGAGAAGAAGTAGACTAAAGCTGAGATGGTCAGATGGTGCGGAAGAAGATGCCCACAACATTCTGGGAGTTAGGAACTGGATGGCGTCGGCACAAGACCATGACAATTAGAGGAAACAGTTGGAGGACAACACAGTGCTGTGAAACAATAATAATAAATAATAGAAATATGATTACATTTTATTGCATGTTTTTCCAATACCAATGTCTTAATATTTTTAGTGTTGCTTTAAACTATTTTCTAATTGTTGTGATGTTTTTACCATGTAGGATAGCATCGTTCATCACATTGATTCCAATTAATTTTGTATATTAAATCTTGCCTATCTATTTTTTGTTTCTTTTCTATTGTTTGTGATACATTTTTCCAATTTATTTTATTGAAGAATAAATTTTAATTTTAAATAATTAATATTAATTTTGAATTAAATGTTAATGTATTTAAATACTTATTTTATAATAATTTAGTTTTTATGTTAGTAAAAAAAGCAAATAACTAAAATTTGTAAATGAGTAAAGTTTTACTCCAAGAGTGACAACCTTGTGCTTAAATCCAGCAGGTTGTTTTTAACGTTAGCATAAATCATTGGATTTAATCGATCGATGGATTCCTTTAGCTTACTATATAGCTGACTTTAGACATTTGTTCATAAAATATGAAATATGATTTAATGTTTTAATAAAACTTTATGTTTGATTTCAGGTAAGAAATAGATGAATAATCAGCAATTAAATAACACATAATTGAAAACAGAAAAATAATTTAAAAATATAAAAACAAATAAAGTATTTAGAAGTATGGAGGTTATAACTTAAAAATTCCAAACCAACATCAAAACATAAATATGATATTAACCTTCAATAAAAAATATTTTAAGAAACTTCACTGACCAATTAAAAATTAAAAAGCCATCTCACAGTACACTAAAGACAATAATAATAGTATAACATTGGTTGAAGGTGCGACTAAAATGATATTACACACAAATAAAGAGTTTCATTTGTATGAATTTGATTAATTGCCAGACCCCCGACCAACATCTCCTAATATTTGATCTTAAGTCAACAATGTCTCCACCTGAAGTTTATAGTAATAACGAAATGCAAAATATGACAAAGATAATTAACATTTCCTTGGAATTAATGATAAACTATGATGCTTTTAGAGTCTAATTCTTAAACATAAAAAAGAAAGAAAGAAGAAAACAATATGAAATGCAGTGAACACCCTCTAATAACCATCCCAGGACACAAAACCTGATAAATGATCAGGTAATCTAACTTTTTTATTTTGTTAAAACTAAAATGTACATATGAATAGATTAAAAACCTACATTAGGCTTAATGGTTATCAGAAATTTAAGTCTTTAATAACAGTTGCAAACTGTTGAAATATTTCTTCACAATTGAAACTAATTCATTACTAAATCATTCACACTAACACTGAGTATTCATCTACAAACATTTTTTGAGCCAAAGTTGGTAAAGTCAGATTTAAATGCTTGACGCATTCCAAATTTTTTATCACAAAAACAGGGATTGAACAAGTTCCTGCTGCATTTGAACAAATGATAGCTGTATAATTCGTAATTTATCTTAAACCGAACACTGTGTTTTACTAATGTAGATATTAAGAATATTATTATGAAAACTAGTGTTTTACACTGAATTAATTGCAATCCAATAATAAAATGAAAAACTACGGTAGCATGGAAAAATTTATATTTTATCGAGGGCGTCCTCTGACTACTAATTGAGATGGTATAGAAAAATAATTACAAAATAGTTACTCTGCGGTAGACTATTGTATTCATGTTTTGGACTAATGAAGCAGTACTTTTTAGCTGTTTTCAATGTATTCGATCAATAACCAATCTAATTAAATTCCAATGAATGAACTAAAACTCAACCGAAACTTTTTTTTAGTATATATTATGTTACAACTTAACCACAAAAGTAAGATTCAATGTCAACAGAAACTAAGATTAAATATCAGCAAATTTCAAGAGCCACTTAAATTAGAGCAATTAATTGAACATTTAAAGATAAAAATATATTCACATAAAAAAATGCCAAGAATGTACGGTTAGGAAATTCAAACATTTTCAACATTATTGAGAGATAATCTTTATCCGATAGAATTATTAACTGAGTATTCATTTAAACAAAGTTATGAGGCTCACCGTTCTTAATAAAATTAATCACTTAGAAAGTGTGAAACAAATCATAATTGTTGAATTCTAATAATTTATACTGTTCTTAGAATCATAAAAAAGTTCATGTTTTAAATAAACAGTGCTCTGTGAAATTTATGTTAGTAGGTAATATAAGTACAGGGAACTCAGCATATAAAACTAATGTGTGAACAGTTTACCTTTGCATTATTGTCTCATATAATTCTGATAATTGTGTATAGGATTTTTTTAATTTAAAAACAAATTTTTATGAGGAAAAACATCTAGGAAAGTTGATAAACAATGTGAAAAAATGGACCGTCAATAAAAATAAGTCTCTGTTCACAATCCAATTTAATTAAGTTATAATTGATAACACATTTTAGAACCTTAAAAATTCAGGTTCTTTAAAAAAAAAAAAAAAAAATCATAGCAATGATCTAAGAATTTACACATAACACTGAAAAGAAACAAAAGAGAAAAAGATTTGGGAAGCAAAATAATACTTAGCAAATATTTTTGTGAACGATTCACTAAAGGGCATGAAAGAATGAACCATATAAATCAGTTTGCAAGATGAAAAGCAGGTAAAGGCCATTACTTACTTTTGATAAATCAACCACATATAGCTGAAATTGAATATTGAAATAATCTAGTCAAATAGCCACATTGGATAATTAATTTACAATAAAATATTAATTTCATTAAAATCTCACTACAAATAAATTAAAAAATAGATTGTGGAAATAATGTGCAATGAAAAACAGAAAAAAAAGGATAGGTATAGAAATGAATTAGTCATAATTATCGAATCATCTTTCAGAAAAAGCTGCATAATTGTATAATGAATAACAGCACATTGGCGAATAAAACAATGAAAACGTAAATATTACCTATAACTTATGAAGGAGGATGACAATAGCCTAATATTAAACTAACCTCTTAACTAAGATGACAAAACTTCACTTCTTTTCAAATCATAGTGATCAGTGATTCAAATTATTATAAAATTTGCTATCAGGCTTGTAATTAACGAAATGATACACAAATACAAACTATGCAGTGGAACAATCAATCGTTTTAAGAATACATGATGGACTATCAATAAATAGGTTAACTGTGGCGAAAAGAAAAAAAAATGTTATCTTAATTTTAAGACTGAACATAACTTTGATCGTTGAAGCAAGGTACACAATTAAGAAAGGAAATGAATTCGGTGAAACAAGGGAGAAAATTCATAACTAAACATTAAAAGTTAAACGAAAAAGAGGCCATTTTGAGACCGATGACCATCTGGTTCTACCCTGAGATTGAAATATTTAGATGAATTATTAAATTGCACACATATTTAAAAATCTAATAACTTACTTGACGAGGAATTTTCAATCCAGATAGATGGAATTACACTATCACACACGTAATGAGTAAACTTCACTAACAGGGCGTCGACAATGTTTAAGCAGATAAACTAAGGATGGCGCCACCTGTTCTGACTGAAATACCAAGATTCTCTTGCCAAGTTTAAAAGTCAATAACCTTTTAAAATAAGGAACTTCAATTTTTAGTAGCAACAATGTACTTGCTTGTCCTCGGAAGTATTATGCATCAACAAAATTTTAGAACTTTCATTTTGTTTGACACAGTGTTACCCAACGCAATGGCATGTATCTGAGTAAGTGACAATCATGAGGTCACAATTTACAATTATTTTTAAAGCTCCCATTAGCCAAAGACCATAGCTTAGGAAAATATTATTCGAAAAACATCTATGTACAATCGCACGCCTTTTAAACATCAGAATTTATAGAAAAAATACAGCATTTGCTTGTTACTATGGTGAATTAAAAATTATTGTCCTGCAAACAAAAAGATTCTTTGTATCCTAAGGCTACAAACGTAGCCATAAAATTGTATTGAGATTTCAATGCAATGTATTTAATATTTTTTCAATAAATAATGAAACGCTACTATGGTGTATTCGGTGGTATAATATACTCATCTAAATAGCCAGTGAAAGTCGCGTTTGCAAAAAACACATCAATTGTTTTTGGAATCGATAAAATCTCATGATTGCTGATGCACTATTATATTATTTTGAATTGAAATAACAGAAAAATATGGATAGTTGGTGCCCAAAGCTACTTGGATGACATTGGGCTATTTTCTCAAAAGGGCACAATGTCGGTTCCTATCATAACATACTTGCGTTTCTTACAGGATAGAGCCACCAAACCAATTTTTAAACAAGATTTCTCGTTAACGTTTCCGTCTCCTAACTACCGAACGCAGGGAAGCTTTGTATTTATATGGCAGCTTTAAAAAAAAAAGTGCTCATAATCAATATTTGCATTTATTTCACTACCCTTTACCCTCATTAAACGGATTATTTTAAATATATATGTATGTTTTAATTTGCATTATACATTAACAATATTAATACTTGCATTAATTTTAATTTTATACTTACTTTTTTATAATCCTTCAGAAAGAAGTATGTTGCATCAGGATGATAATAAGAAGAAAAGCAAATTCTACTCTGAGACATTTAATCCCTTAAGAATTATAATCATTAACAATAGAAGCGTCATTTGGCTGGCGCAAAATGACAAGAAATAACTAAATTCAGAGTGATATAACCTTAGAATTAAAATAAAGAATAAGCATAAGCGAACAAATAAATAGATAAGCATAGGAGAACAAACAGAAAAAAGCATATAGTGTTTTAGAGATTAATGCGCCGAGTTCCCGCTATGAGAAATCTTCTTAGAAGTGAACGTTATATAGGATCTTGATGAGATCCACAGGCGAATCTATGAGGGAGGGACTTTCGGGCTGAAGCCTCCCCCCAGATGGTAAAATATATCCGTCTTACGAAAACAAATATCTCTAAAAAGTATCATTGTTCGTTAATTACATTAAATAGCAATTCAAGAATCACTCACCATTTCTTATAGGAAGTGTCTTCATTTTTCTCCCAAAATAATTATCATGTATACATAGAAAAAAAAAAATTTTCGGGCTGAAGGCCTCCCTTTCAAATGAATTCCTGGATCCACTAGAGATTAGATCATGATAGGAAAGGAAATATACAGGATTCTGAGAAGAGGATAATAAGTTTTGAGAGGGCTTTATTGTAAAAAGGTACTTGCAACCATGTACCATGGTGAGTGGATACAAAGGAAATGATATAAATATCAAGGGAATGCATTAGGTCTACAAAGTATGCTTTGTCAGGGGAATTGAAGGATAACTGGAATTAAAGGCTATTATTACATTCTTGTTATAGAAAAGGGAATTAATTTGCTAATTGAATAGAAAAAAAATGGATTAAATACTATTCTTGCCTTTTGGTCCTTTCCATTATGGTTTTAAATTTTTCTAAAATTAGATCCCAATGTTTACTTTTTATAACCATGCTGTCATTGTTGATTTTCGCGACTTCGGCAAGCATGGCTCCTATTTTTCTTAGATACTTCTGCTTAACGTTACGTTGTACTGCCTTGTCGGCGTAGTATTCGCCGAACTGTCATAAGAACTTAGTTTTGCGAAATTTCGCTTTCGCTGAGGTTCATGCATTTTCTATGAAGCAATATTTAACATACGTAATACGCACAAGTGTATTCTTATGGTTTATAGCGAAGACTGGTTGACAACAAGAACACAAAGCAATTAGTTGTTATTTTAATATAAATCATGAATGATTTATGCAAGTAGTGGAAATGGCGGGAGAAATCAGTTGATCACCGATCTCTATTACTCACTTATTATGTATCGTAAATAAAGTTACTTTTAGAAACACTGTTATAAATCACTTAAACAATTTGATATACATAGGTAATGACATTAGAAATAGAAAATTTTTAAACGCGGAGTATAATTGATAAAATTCTTGAATTCGTTCCATAATCCAGAAATCTTAACATTGTCTCTAGTTTTAATTGGTCCGCCAGAGCTTTTCGCATCATCTCATTACATGAAATCAAAGGGTTTATCTTGAACAACAATTATTCTAACTAGGGGTGCCCAAAAGAGGGTCATATTCTTAATTTTTGAGGGGGGAAAATTTCGATGGAGTTATGAACAAGGGGAAAACATGGAACATACTGCAGCAAGTGTAATTGTATATTATTTACTATTTTTCTAGTTCTATCTTAGTTTGCTCTTTTTAGGAAAAGGCGAGCAGTAAAAGATCTTGGCAGGAGGATGGGCATTCCTGATTCTAGCTTATTTAAAACTAACCTCATCATTGCTATTCCCAATTTTTTTTTCTTTGTCCACCACTTCCTCGCCTATTAGACCATATAGCGTTTTTTTATGGGCCAGGGAATTAATGGCAGAGTTAAAATCCTCCCTCCCCCCCCAGTACCGATGCGCGAACTCGTAATTATTTTATCAAATAAACTTCGGTTTAACAGGTTATCAGACTGCATGTTTTGCACACGCGTTAGTCCACTCGGCTACCTCTCCATCAAATATTACTCTGAATCATTTTCATGAAGCTCTCTGATGCTCCTAAATTCTGTTTGTTCATCTATGATTGAATCCATGTTTTCTTATTCCTAGCGCTTCCTTCCTTGGGAACGTACTTCAAAGAACTCTTCACTTAACTTGGCAATAATTGATTGTGTAACATTCTGAACGACAATCAGTACTGTATTAAGTCTATTTGTTGATAATAAATAAATAAATGCGTATTAAACTTCCGCACTAACTTGTTCCATAACACTGAAAATGTGAAGACAACAAAGCGCTGGTGAACTTGAAGGTCAATCGCTATCCGCCAGCGATGTTCCAGTCAAATACATAAATATTTAAAAGAAATTAATTCAAAATTTTCCTCAGATAATGGACCAGAGGTGGTTAACAACCTTGAAGGGGTCCCTGAGGCAGTATTTTCCCACCGTAAAGTCACGTCTAGCCACTACATGGGTCCTTCCGGGCTACTGTGGATCACAGTTACTTACTGGATATGGAGGATATAGACTAGTAATGTCCCAGATGCGGTGAATCATAGACATTACCAGGCGGCACTAGGAGCCACTGGCGGGAGGGAGGGGCTTTCGGGCCGAAGCCCCCCCCCCAAAATGTAAAAATGTTTTATGGTAAAAAATATCTCTTAAAGTGTTATTGTTCGTGTGATTACATTTAATAGGACTTTAAAAATCACATAAACACCATTTCATATAGGTAGATAGTATCTTTCTTTTTTTTTATAGAGTAGTTATCGTTTTATATATATATATATGAAAAAAAAACCTTTCAGGTTGAAGACCCACCAAAATGAAATCCTGGATCCGCTAGTGCTTGGAGCCAAGATTTTGAGAAAAACTGGACTCTATTCCTAACGGAAAGAGCGCTGCCTCAACTTATGATAGCAAATAACTATTTGTTCTTTAAAGATTTCGTTAACGAGTGAAAAACTGTTATGAGCCCAGCATACTTCCACCTAGAATGAAGAAGAATCCACCAGAGAACGAAGACGGAAATTAGGAACATATAAATTTTGAAAAGTAAGAACAATTACATTATTTCTAACAGGAATGGCATATGGCATTTCACTCCTGCCAAATCCATGTTGCCTATAAGCAGGGTAGGCAGTAAAATAAATAAATAAGGATTCACCACTGGTCCTTTGAGCAGCAGAGTATCGGTTGAGTAGTAGGAAAATATGAAATTTTAGTATTTATTTAGAAATAACTTATTTGACTCAGATAAACAAATCACAGAACCAAAAATCTATTTAATAATATCCTAGGGGAGTACTCCCTGTTCGCCTATAAGCTGACCAACCTCCATTTTACAAATTACACAACTGTTCCTTTCATTGAACTACTCATTCATCAAATTGTATAACTTTAATTTACATGTATTATGTGGTTTAGATTGGATTATTTTTTATCAAAATAAAATAAACTGAAGGAAAGCACAGTTTGGACAATTTTTTAACGTCTTTAAAAAATTATATTATTATAATTATTCTCTTGATAAACTGTAACCATAATATACACTGACAGGCAAAAAATTCCACCCATTTGATTTTTTCATGTTTTCATCTAAAAATATTTCTGCTTTGGATTGGTCTATTAATGAATAAATAGGTAATCTTTTTGTTTGTTTTCAATTAGGAATGTTAATATAGAGGACAATAACCCTTAATCCTTAATTCAATGAAATGATTCTAGATTCCAATGTTTACTTTCTATGGAATCAAAATGTTTATTCAGTATCATCAGTTCAGTGCAGTGGTGTTTCTTCTACGGCTTTTAATTTTTTCAATATTAAGTTTAAAAATGCCTCTTAGGGCTGAGGATGTTGCGCGAGGTGTGGCACTTATTGATGATGGACGTTCCATTAGATATGCAGCTAATGCCATCGGAGTTCCATATGAAACTTTACGAGACGCCGTCAGGTGGTGTTGCCTATCTTCAACGAAATCGGCGAACGTTCTATTCTAATGCACGCCCACATGTCGCCCGCACAGTGCAGACGTTCCTTCAACAGAACAATACTCATTTTTTAGCCTAGCCAGCACGTTCTCCAGATTTGAACCCCATTGAGCATTTATGGGATAACCCCGAAAGACGAATACGAGCGCGTGCA